TGGGAAGGGCAGAGGAAAATGCCTCAAAAAAATAACAGTGATGATAATAAATATTTAATAATTTTTAAGCTGTGATTTTCTTTTGGAGAGATGAAAATAAGTCACCTGTGCCATTTCCATCCTCCTATTTCTAAATTATTGCCTTATATGTAAAGTTGGCACTCTGGCTGCTTTTAAGAGGCAGCATGACAGAATGAATAGAGTCCTAGGTTTGAAATCAGGAAGATTAGTGACCAAATCCCAGCCTGTGGCCCCAGTTAGTGAAATGCTTAGTTTTCTCATCTGCAAAATGAAGATAATCCCTATAGTACTCAGTTCTTGGGATTGTTATGATACTCAAATGAAATAATATGTGAAATGCTTTAAGGTTTAAGGCAAACCCTAGAGCATTATATTAATGTCATCATTACTATTAGCTTCATGATTCAGAGATTTTGTCTCTGCTAAACTTATCTTTTCTAGTGCCCATAACCGTGCTTTGCACATAATAAGTATCTAATGCATGTTTGTAAAATTGAATTAAATTTAATCTTTTCAGGTCATTTATAGAACTAGAATATGAAGGGACCTCAGAGGCCCTCTAGTTTAACTCCCTTATTTTATAGATGAGGAAAATGAGACCTGGAGAAGTTGAGATGCTCAGGATCATACAGGTAGTAAATGTGAGAGGTGGGGTTTAAACCCAGGTCCTCCATGTCTCTGAGCTAGTGCTCTTTCTTGTCTGTCTGGAGATGTCTGGAGCATTAGTGTTGTGCTTATTACTTCTAAACACCAGAAATTCTGTTTGCCATGCAAAGAATTTGTTTGAGAAGTTAAAGTGAATCCATTTTAAAACTTGGTATTTCAGATTGGATGGTTATAATCATTTGGCAGATTTATAATCAACCCCCATGGCAGATTTATAAACAAACTGGCAGAGTTAGCAGTTTTACCTCCTGTTTCCAATCTATTTAGTGTCGTTTTCTCCAAAAGAACAGCTTTTCCTGGCAAAAAAGCCCTTACTGGAGAAGATTGATTGTTCAATGGCCTCTTCCTAATCCCTCCCTAAATATTTACAGTGCAGAGGAGACAAGTAGTTTCCCTCCTGTGGTGGGTTTCCACTATCAACTTCTGATCTACAAAGAGAGCTCCTTAATGGTCAGCATTTCCCCTCCCCCATTGTTGTTTTATGGCTCTGTGCTGCATGGTGAACTCTTTTAAGACAGAATTTTACTCAGACCCCATCTTCTCCAAGGACAGAGCTAGGTGGTGGGTTGGCTGTTAGCAGATGCGGTTGTCAGCTGCCGCCCATGCAAATGATTGGTAGCACCCTTGGCCTTGCTCTTCTGTGTCATATCCTTGAATCTTTTAAACACTCAGGGTCAGATTCAAATTCAACCAGCTCTGTAGGAGGCTTCCCACTTATTGTCATGGATGACACTGTACTATTGTTGTGAATATTCAGTTTGGAGGGTATTGAATAAATGGATATGTTCACTCCAGCACAGTCTGAAGTTCAGTGGAGTCTGAAGACCTGGCTTTTATCCTAGACCTGATGCTTGCTGGGCAAGGCTCTCACGTTTCCTAAGATGCACATTCTTCATTTGTAAAATGGGGATTTTGTTGCTTGTGCATCTTGTCTCATAAATCCTTTGTAAACCTCAAACTTGCTACCACAAGACTGAAACTGCTTATCTCCTAGGGTGATTTTGTGGTAACAAATAGTTAAAAATTAAAGTACTATTTAAATGTTGAGCTTCTATTATTACTATTGAAAATAATACCAAATCTCTGTGTATGGTAACAATAATAGATCATATTCACGAAGTGCTTTCAAATTTGCAAAGGGACTCATATCTTATTTGATATGATTTTTACAACAACCCTCTAAGGCTGGTGCTGTTGTGATCCCCACTTTACAGATGAGGAAACAGACTGAGAGAGGTTAAATGACTTGCCTAGGGTCATATAGCTAGTAAGTGTCTAACTTGTATCTTCCAGATTGTAAACCAAGTGCTTTGGTTTTCAGCTGTAGCCTGGGCAAATGATTGGTAGCACCCTTGGCTTGTTTTCTGTCATATTCTTGAATCTTTTGCAAACTTAGAGTCAGATTCAAATTCAACCAGCTCTGGAGGAGGCTTCCCAGATACTTTCATCTGAATTCTTGAAACAATACAATTGTTAGAATAAAAATGAAATTCTGCACTTTGCATTCCAATTAGATTTCCTATAAACAGATGGATTTGATTTTTTCTGATAGCTGAGTATTAGTGCAGAGGAAGTAGAGTCCTGGAAGTTCCACTCATCCTACATATCATTATCCCATGAATACATTGATATTTTTAACTAATGAATTAGGATCTTGGTCAATTTTAAAGAGGCGGCATCAAGAGAATTTAAGAATTACTTAAGGTGGGGGCAGCTAGGTGACACAGTGGGTAGAGCTCTGGCCTTGGAGTCAGGACGATCTGAGTTCAAATCTGACCTCAGACGCTTGACCCTGACTAACTGTGTGACCCTGGGCAAGTTACTTAACCCTGATTGCACCAAAAAAAAGAAAAAGAAAGAAAATGCATCTAAGCTTTCAGTAGGTTTTGATAATGGTGACTTTCTTTTTATTTCTTCATCTTTCTCATGAATAAATGAAATGGAAATTTCTTTTTTGTGTACAACTGGTTTTTTTTTTATACACATCAGCTAGACCTCTGAGATACTCAGTTTAAAAGTAGAGCTTATTGAGATAGCCGTGTTGTCCTTCTCTCCCAAGTCATAGTGACCTTTACAAACTTTTCCTGCGAAGAATGTGATAAAAACAGTTTATATTCTGTGTCCTTTAGTTCCAGCATCTCTTTGGCTCAAAGGAACTTGTGTCCATAAACTAGACAGACCACAGGATGAAGCAAGGTTTTGAGGAAGGTCTTGTTTAAGCATAGTGAATTTAGACAAGGAGACTAAGCAGACCAAAAAGCCAAATGATGAAACTGGGCTTGGAATGTTTTTTTCTTTTTTTTGTGAATAGATCAAAGGCTACTAAGGCTGGAATAAAAGTTAGACAGTGGAATGTAGGAGCTGGTATTGAACTGAGAACATGGGTCCCAGTCTGGGATTTTGGCCTTCATCTAGTCTAGGGGTTCTTAATGTTTTTTGGTGTCATGGATTCCACTGACAATCTAGGGAACCTATGTCCCCTTCTCAGAAAAATATTTTTAAATGCATAAAATAAAATGTAGAGCACTATAAGGGGCACAAATTATATTAAAATATAGTTAAGAAAATATATTTTAAAAACCTAGGTTTACTGATGCCAAGTTAAGAACCCTGATCTGGATTGTTCTTAGGGGCCATGCCATCAACTTATTTCCTTTTAGCGTATTTCTCTCTCTCTTTCTCTCTCTCTCCCTCTCTCGGACATGGCAAGAGCCTCCCCTTTTTTTCTGTTATGTCATATCATTTTATTTTTTTTATTTCCTGAAATTCTGTAAGGTTGGAACTTGGAGACTGTATCTGTCCAACACACATTGGAAATGGAAAGGTGGCTGTGGTAGATTACTTTATTAATTTAAGTAGTGTAGTGATTTGAATGGGATAAAGGCACCTAACTTGGATTCCTCCTTTCTTCCTCAACTTGAACTCAGAAATTATTTTTGAAAGTTAGGACTGTAAAATTTCCATTTTCACTCTGCCAAGTTCGCCTCATCCCTACCTTACTAAAATCAAATAACCTTTTTTCTTCAGCAGATGTGCTTCCTCCTAGTTCCCTCACTAAAACTGATTAATGGCATTTAGAGCTAAAAAGACTTTAGGGATCATTTAGTTTAATCCTTCCATTTTAGAAATGATTTAACTGAGGCTCTGGAAGGTGAAAGAACTTGCCCAAGGTCACCTAGGTTTTAAGTAGCAAATAAGGATTCAAACATGGGTCTATTTTTTTCTTTCTTGTATTCATATTTCTTTTGTTGTCTCCTTTACTTTTTGAACTTTAATTTTTTTTTCAATTATTCAGCATTTATTTTCTCTCTCTCAGACCTCCCACCCCACTGGGGGGAGAAGGAAAGAAAAGGTTTCTAAAAAATTTGCATAGTCAAGCAAAACAAACTCCCACGTTGACCATGCCTTTTGAATTCATCACCTTCCTCTCAGGAAGTGGCTAGCATGTTTCATCATCAATCTTTTGGCATCATAGTTGGCCATTGAACTAATCAGAATCGTTTCAAAGTTTCATCATCACACTGTGGTTTTACTGTTCTTTTCTGTTCTGTTACTGTAGAAATTGTTCTATAAATACAACTCTTCACAGGTGTTCCTGAAAACATATCTTTCATCTCTTCTTATGATACAATAATATTTAATTTGTAGCTTGATCCTGATTAGTGTGAATAGTTACTCCTGTGAATTGGTTTTTTATTCAAATTTGCACTGCATATTTCTACTAGGCCTGACAAAATGATCATATTTTATGTAATTATAACTTTCAATAGTATGAATTTCTTTATGGGATTCATATGTCATAATTTGTTCAGCCATTACACAACTGATGGGCACCCCGTTAATTTTCAGGTTTTTGCCATTACAAAATGTGAATGATATAATTTTTTTTAAACATATAGATCCTTTGTGCTCTCTTTAAAAAAATTCTTTATTGTTTCCCTTTGACTCTAAAACTAGTGTTCTTTCCACTGCCCTTGATAGTTGCGGCATACACATAACTTATAAAGGTGTGTGGGTGGAATTACATCTTTCCCATCTTTAGGAGTTATTGTGAGAATCAATGAGCTCAAATCACATAGTACAGGGTAGATGTTTAATAAATGTTTGAATAGATCATAGATCTGAAAGAATTTGGGGAAAAAGCACTAACAATGAAGTTCCACAGCGAATTTTCATGACTTGCAATCAATGATGGGATGGGGTTTGGGAACTTCAGTAAATTATTTAACATATGCAAAGTATTTTGAGGGAAAAAAATCTTTGCAGTTGGACAACCAAATGTGTGGCTTTTCATGTTGTGTTTCTCTTCCTAGGTTTCTCTGGGAATTGCGTTGGCTGTGGAAAGAAAGGATTCTGTTACTTCACTGAATTTTCCAATCACATCAATCTTAAATTGACCACCCAGCCGAAGAAACAGAAACACTTAAAGTATTATCTGGTTCGGAATGCTCACGGGGCTCTCATGAAAGGCCCTTTAATCTGCTGGAGGGGCTCTGGTTAGTTAGCCCAGTAGGCTTGGCAGGATTTTGCCTTTCACTGACTTTGAGGGGGGTCTGAGTTAATGGCGAAAGGGTCTACCAAAGTAAACAAAGAGCCCCCGGGCCCTGAGGATGGCCTTTATAGTGGGTTTAAATTTTGAGATACTAGGACAATTTGACGTTAATTGCTTCTTCTTGTTAGAGATGACTGCCTTGCAATGGAAGAATTTAACTAGCTTTAAAATTAGATTGGAAGTGATATTAGAGACCATCCCACTCAATCCTTTCATTTTATTGATGAGAACTTGCTTAAAAATCACATAGGAAGTAGAAGACCAGGATTTGAACCCAGAGCTTCTGATTTCAAATCCAGATCTCTTTTCACTTTGGGAGGGGAAACAAGCATTTATTAAGTGCCTACTATGCAACAGGCACCGTGCTAAGTGCTTTGCAAATATTATTTCATTTGATCCTGACAATAATGTTTTTGCCTTTTTTTTTTTTTTAAAAGTAAATTCTCCATGCTTGGAACACTTGATAGATGCTTGTTGACTGACTTAAGCCAGGAATTGAAGGGTAGTTTCCTATGATCCCCTTTCCCTTTCTTCCAAATGTCTAGTTCCCTTATCACTTACCATCCTTCATAGTGACAGTGTGGTCTTTACTTTCATTAGAGAAGTTAAAAACAAACTCTTTGTGGTCCAAGGGTGAGGTTTGTTACTAGTTGTGGTTATCAGACAGGGCTTTGTACAAGAGGTGGCAGTGGAATTGATCTGTAAAGAATGGGTAGGCATTCAGTAGGTGAAGAGCTGGGGAAGGAAGATATTCCATTCATAGTGAATTATGTGAGCAAAGACATGGAGGTGAGAAAGTCTGCCTTCTCTCTCCTTTGTTCCCCACTTTTTCCCCTTACCACGCATGTCACTTGCTAGTCGGGCCAATGTTACACTGGCATTTTCTCTAGCAAATAACATTAATTGCTTGGCCTGATGTGACTGACACCAGATCAGGAAAACTTTCACCTCCACCAGAGATGAATGAAGTCATTGCCTTTATACTAACTTTCTTTCAGTAGAGCTCCGGAGCAGGCAGATGTTGTCAAGCACTTGTTCCAGTTCACTGTTCCAAGCTCCAGAGAGTTCAGCTCCCCCAGCTGCCTTCACAAGCGAGCCGGTTCTAGTAGCACACCCAAATGTTCTGATGGGCACTCAACTGACAGGTAAATGCTTGTAGAAAACCATTTAGAGATGTTAAATCATTTCCACACATTTATTATTGCTTATAGGATGAACTAACATGTATTTCTTTTCTGTGACAGAGTTTCAGTTAAAAAGGAATGATATCTGATTTATAAAGCATAGGATTTTGATGTCTAGATCCATAGCTAGTCATCATTTCAATAATAGCCAGGTAGACAAAAAATTTTTGTTCCTAGGAAGTGGAGGAGGGCAGTATGATCTAGGGGGAAAGAATGCTGGATTTATATTCAGAACACCTGGGTTCAAATTCAGACTTGATATTTAATACCTGAATGACCTCAGGTCTTGCTAAATGACTTGAGGACATCACTTATCCTTTTTGGGGCCTCGGTTTCCTTATCTGTAAAATGAAAGGATTGGACTAGATGGCTTCTGAGGTCTTTTCCAGCTTTCAAGCTATGATCCTATGACTTTTATTTAAATCCCCCTCCAAGTTACAAAGTCCTTCAAATCAAAATTACTTACTCTATCAATTTTGTATATTTTCATGAACTTTAGTGAAAGGGTGGGACTGACTGCTAGACAAGAACCTAGGGAATATAGTGGATTGAGCATAAGACAGAGAGCTAGCTTCATATCTAGAATTGGAACAACCAATATATTCTGTTGGGGTGGGGTAGGGGAGAAGCTGCTCAGTAGAGTTGTTCAGAATTCCCTCCCATTTGTAGCCCTGAGCCTGTAGGATAGAGGTTCTTAACCTTTTTCTGTCATGGACTAAGACACTTACTTAGCTACATGACTTTGGGCAAGTCATCTAACTTTTGTTTGCCCTAGTTTTCTCATCTGTAAAATGGAAAAAAAAAGTAAGAGTATCTACCTCCAGAGTTGTTGTGAGGTTAAAAATGGGGCAATAATTTGTAAAACACTTTGAAAACTTTCAAGTGCTATATGAATGCTGGTTATTATTATTTCTGTTATGATTATTATCCTCTTTGGTAATTTAACAAAAGCCTATGCACCTCTTCTCAGCATAAAGATTTTAAATATGTGGAAAAATACAAAGGATCATAGAGGAAACAGTTATCATGAAATATAGTTATCAAAATATATTAAAAAACCAAGTTCACAGACACCAGGTTAATAATTCCTGCCCTAGGACATTCACTTGCTATCTCTTTTACATTGGGGGTTATAGTAATCAGAATTATTTTTGACTTTTTTTTTCCTGCCATGTGTTGCTGTGAGAAAACTAACAAAAGGTTGACTGTCTCCCTCCTTCCTCATCGGAAGGGTTGAGCCAACCCTTTCCCCCTTATGACCAAGTTGGGGAGAGGGCAAAGATATAAACACAAACACCCCAAGAAAGAAACAAAAATTATTCACCCTCTTCATTACAGATGTTAAAGATTGTGCTGATAACATTCCATACTACAGGTTGGAAATCATGAATACCATCATAAGTAAAACAATTAGTATGATAGCTTTCAGGGTTATATTCTTAAATGATCTTTAGATCATTCCTTTCTTGTTTGTTTCAAGAGGTTATAATGGGTGTATTCCCAATAAAAGAGCAATATTGATAAGTCACTGTCAAATACTGGTGTATGATACTGGGGTGTGATATCTTTTATAGGTGACTGATAAACCAAATCATTAACAAATATGCCTAGGCTAGTTTTGAAAAGGGCCTTTGGGAATGCTATACTAGCTACCATTCTCTCATGGGACAGTTGCTGTATTTGAAAGCATCTTGGGGTACTTTGTGAGCCCCTATATTTTAGTATGAATATGAGTAGGTGCCATGTGGCCTTAGAGCTGAGTTAGGACTATTCCCTTGACTATAGAGTGACTCAGTAGTCCCCAGAGTAAGTCCCTGTTCTCTAGTTAAGCACTTGGAAACTTCTAGTGTCTTGGATAGTTCAATGAGTCTGAGCACAGGTAGTCCCTCAATTCTGTTGGGGTGCCCTCAGATCCTGTGGTCAGTTCAGGACTAGAGTAGACCAGATAGCTGCAACCATTAACAATCTTTTGCAAGTGCTATCCTGGTTCCAATCTGTGTTTTCAATAGGCAGTTCTAGGGAATCAACCTGGAGGTGTGGGGCACAAACTCCGGGGTATCCCACAGTGGCTTTGTATGACCTTCAGACTTGTAGGTCGACTCAATTTGTAGCTCTTGAGATGCATGTGGGAATTTGTACATGTCCTCTCAGAGGAGCTGAAACATTACACTTTGTGCACTCTAACCTCAAGGGTGGCTTTAATAGATGAACAACATATAGTAAAATAGGAAAAGTGATCTTGGATCCAATAATATCATGGTGAGCTTCTCTTTTCTTTGGTTTCAGGCCCTGTATCTGATCATCCTCTTCAAACATCAGCAATGAGTCCAGCTGTTTTCAATGGGAAAGATTCACCCAAGCATCAACAGTTAGTGAAAAACAATTTGTCAGTCCCAACAAGACCCTCGGTATTAGGTAGCTTCGAATTTCTGTGTCTACCCACAAAACAGGTCATGTTCAGATCCCAGCATAAGGGGTCAGATGTATTTATTGCCTCCTATTCCTTTGGAGCAGAATCCAGCCTTGGGAGCTGATATTGGTGGGACTGAGAAACGTTTTTTTGTTAAATGATTTTATGTTTTGAATTGCATCAAATTCACAGGTATTTGCTGAGGGTGATATGCTATGGGGCAAAGGCAGAATGGTATGGTAGTCAGAGCACTATATTGGGATCTTGAGCTAGATAAGTACTCTGAAGGCTTTGAGCTCAGACATCTAATTTTACAGTTGGGGAAACAGAGGCCCAGGAAGGTGAAGTGACCTGCCCCAGGCCATTCAGGTAGTAAGCATCAAAGCTGGGATTTGAAATGGGGTCCTCTGGCTCCAGACCACTGCTCTTTTTACTGTGCCATACCTTAACTGGCCATGCAAATTTGGTGAAGCTGCTTCCTCAATCTGTGGCTCAGTTTCCTCAGAGGCAGCATGGTATGGTACTAAGAGGGCCCTTCTTGGAGGCAGGAAGACCTGGGCTCAAGTCTTGCCTCTAACACATAGTAGCTATGTGGCTAGGGTCAAATCACTTAACCTTTTACTGACTAGATAACTCTTGAAGATCATAAGTTACAGCTGAGCTGAGTTTCCAGCCTCCTACTGTGGAAGGAGCTTCCCTCATTGAAACCACTAGTGAATGATACAAGACAATGTAAATGATGACTGAACCCTTTATTAAATTGGATGAAATAGGCTTTAGGTGGTATAATAAGAGTTAAGAGGAGGGCTAGATGAATGTGAGCTGGAGGAGGTGGGACAGAAGCTTAGTACTGAAGAATGGGTTAGATGTGGAGAGGAGCAAGGTATGAATGAGGGGACCAGGGTGCCTAGACTAGAAAAGGTGTCTGTTGTGGGACAAGTAGGAGATAAAATTGGATAGAGCCTGTGTATATCCCCATGACCAAAGTACTTTAAAATTTCTAAATTCTTAGGCCTTTTGTGACTTTTAATGCAACAGTGCCAAAGGGAAATAGTTGGCAAATTTAATTTATTACTCAATCTCAAGGGCAGCTAGGTAGCACAGTGCATAGAGCACTGGACTTGGAATCAGGAAGACTCGTCTTCATGAGTTCTAATCTGGATTCAGACACTTAATAGCTTTGTGACCCTGGGAAAGTCACTTAACCTCGTTTGCCTCAGTTCCTCATTTGTAAAATGAGATGGAGAAGGAAATGGCAAATTACTCCAGTGCCCTTGATAAGAAAACCCCAAATGGGGTAATGAAGAGTCTGACACAACAGAAATGACCCAACTACAACTTAGTCTCAGATCTTAGATTTTTTCCTTTGGAACAAGAAATAAATTTTCTGTTCCTCCTATATATGATGAATATTGTATTGGTTCAGATATATGCTGTCTTTCCTCATTCCCCCAATATATGTTGCCCCCTAAAATGTGATCTTATTGAGAGGAAAAAATAAATACAGCTATGGATTAAAGCAGTTCCTTAACATCTGTGCACCCTCTTCTTCCAGCTGTGCCTCACCCTCCTCACCTTGGATTTTGTAATCAACTCAGTTGAGGGGATGAATACAAACCCCACCTCCTGGCTGGGGCCTAACTTGGATTGAGAGCAAGGTTATCAGGGCACTCTAATCTAATGTAGTCTTTCTTCTGCATCTTAACTCATGAAAAGTTCCATAACTTTCTCTTTCTAGAGACTGAGGAGCCATCAAGCTCTTGACAAGCTCGAATGTCGGAATGAGTCTAATAAAATGAGATTTGAAAGGGTTGGGTATAAAGTCTTATACCTGAGTTAAAAAAAAACTTGCATATGTGCAAGATGGAGGAGTAGCTATACTGCTGTAACAGTTCACGACTGTGAGTGCAGTGTGAATTAATAGTATGATATAGCATCTAGAAAAGCTAATGAGAACCTAGGCTGAATCAGCAGAGCCTTAGCTTACGTGATTAAGGAAGTGATCTCACTGTACTTCATCGGGATCAATGAGAGCTGTCCCAAAATGAAATGGACTGCCTCAAGGAATAGTGGGTTCCTTGTCACTAGCACTTGTTAAGGAAAGGCTAAATGATCACTTCAGTATGTTTACAGAATTTATAAATGGGTTGGAGTGGATGGTGCCTTCCAATGTTGAGGTTTTGGGATCTGTACTCAAGCTCTAGAACACCAATGAGCCTTTTCTTTTTTTTGGGGTGGGGGGGTTGAGCAGGTTGATACATTTCATCATATTTTTTTCTTTGCCCTCTTGGTACAGCCCCTCACTTAGATATAATGCTAAGCTACAAGCCATACTGGTGATGAGCTTAGTAGCTAGGTTGGTCCTTGACAATTGCTACATAGTCTATCACTGACACTATATAGCCTATGGAATTTGTATAGGACCTGCCAGAGCTTGTACTCTACTGGCATATGCTACAGTAGTAATAATAATGATAACAACAACAATAATAACTAACATTTACATAGTGCCTAAAAGTTTATAGAGGTCTTTGCATAAACTCTGTGAGGTAGGTGCTATTTTTATCTCCATTCAACAGATGAGGGAATGAGGTAAAGAGAAGTTTTTTGACTTGTCATTGCCCATAGTCACATATCTAGTAAGTGTCTGGGGAAAGATTTGAACTTGGCTCTTCCTAATTTCAAGTCCAGCATTCTATCTGTTGTTACATCTAGTTGCCTAGGCTTACTTTCTCACCAATATTAGATATCAAAATAGGACTTCAGTGGAAGATATAAAATATGTAGTCACATGCATCTAGATAGCACAATGGATAGAGGGCTAGGTTTGGAGTTAGGAAGAACTAAGTTCAAATCCTGCCTCACATGCTTCCTAGCTATATGAGCCTGGGCAGGTCAAGAAATCTCTCTTAGTCTCATTTTCCTTAACTGTAAAATGGGGATCATGCTAGCACCTGGGTCATAGGGTTATTTGTGAGGAGCAAATCTGTAAAGCTCTTTGCAAACCACAATGCACTATATAAATAAGACCCATTTTTTTGTACAAGTACATACTGGCTCACCTGCTCCTGATGCTTTGAATGATTAACTAGTTTCCCTCCTTTACAAATCTCTCATTGAGCCATGGAGGTGATCCTAGGCTGGTGAAGGCTGTACCAGTGGAGTAAAAACTCTGGCAGATTATATGAAGTTGGTAAGACCTGACTACTGATTATTTCTCTGAGGACCAATCTAATGAAATACTGAGAAAATAATCACTGGTAGCGTGACTGCTTTATGATGAATTCTGTGGCAGTGGCAACCCACAGCTTGAGAAATGAACATTAAGTAACCTAAGAGATGGTATTACTTGCAAATGACTCAGTCATAAGGGTACTGACTATTGCCATCCCTCATGGATTTCCTCCTTGAAACATTATTTGATGGGAAGCATACATGGAAAAGTACTGCCACCTTATGGTGAAAACTGGTTGAGTGTAAACCAATGAGCCAGCTCCATTTATCCCTAGGAACCGCTTAAAAGCACCAGTCTCTAGACACAGATTTATAAAATGGATGGCATAGTTTTTTAAAAATGTGGGAAGAAGGGGATTTAAAAAATATGGCATTTGTTGTAATTTGAAAATGTACCAGATGCTTAAAATTCAAATCCAAGTCATTTGTGTGAAGCCAAACATCTTCCAGAGCCTTCCGTCAGATCAGTCTTGTAATGCCAGCAGTCCCAAATGTTTGCTTATTCAAGGCCTGCTAGCAGGAAAACAAAACAAAGCAAAGCAAAACAAACAAACAAAAAACCAACCAAAAAAAAATAACCCATGGAAATGCTGAAAAGGTTGGATTGAAGCTTGTTTCAAGTATCAGTGCTGCTAACTGCAAATGTCTTTTAGGCACTTTAACTAACTCAGGGCCTCCCAAGAAACGCCACAAAGGGTGGTCCCCAGAGTCTCCATCAGTTATAGACCCCTGCTACACACAAACGAGTGCCCACAGGATGAAAAGTGGTAAGTGACAGGAGGGTGATTTTACAACAGTGCTTTGGTCTGGATTGGGGGAGGGAAGAAAGGAGGACTCTATGTGGTTACCAGTGAATATTGGGGGCTGGTGCATTCCTTAGATGGAATTTTCATCAGAGCTCATATTGTTCATAAGCTTGCTCAGGGAAAACAAGCCACTTAATATTAATAATAATTTATGTAAAATTGTTTAAACAATTCATAAATTGTCAAATAGCAATTAATCATATATAATAATTGTCACATATAATATGTTATACTGTAACTTATGAATTATTGATTTGTGAATTATAATTGTAAAATAATTTGTGAATGATTTATACATTGTTAAATAATTTATGTAAAAGTATTTGAGCTCCCTGCAGGAAAAAGGACTATAGAATCAATTATGTTTTATATAATTACATATTTATTCATTTATTATTATATTAATCCCATATTAATATATAACAGAATGGGACACCAGGACAGCGGAAACTGTGGCGTAGTAACAGTTGGCCTTCAGATTAGAAAGACCTGGGTTCAAGTGTTCCTCTGTCATTTATTCACTTTCTAACTTTGGCAATCCACTTTTTATCTGGCAACTCTCTAAGACCAAGTTACATTGTAATTGTAAGTGATTATCGGTTACACTGTAAGTTATACAAGTTTCCATTGTGCATTTATGGAGAGAGTTTGCACACTGGGAGTTCTCCACATTCATGAAATTGGGTCTGTGGATAGAGCACTAGCCCTGGAGTCAGGAGGACCTGAGTTCTAATCTGTCCTCAGACACTTATTAGCTCTGTAATCCTGGGCGAGCACTTAACCCTGATTGCCTCCTCACCCACCCAAAAATACATTCGTGAAATCACAGGTTTTGACCCCATCTCCTCCAAATGATGATAATTAAGACAGAATATCAGTCTTGAGAGTCAGGAGATGAAGGTTTGAGTTCTGACTACACCACTGTACAGCCTTGGTAAAACCACTTCAGCTATTTCAGCCTCCATTTTTAAAATCTTTATTTATGTTCCTGTTATCTAGAAAATGAGGGTAGTAGTGATTTCCCTTTTAACCTCACAGGATATGTTAAGGAAAGCTCTTTTTAAACACTGAAATGTTAAAAAAAAAGTGATTCTTATAAGCCCTTATGCCAAGAGAATAAACAAAAACTGACTTTAAAAAATTAGTGCTTAGATTATGCTATCTATGTCTGACTCATTAAATGAATAAGAGGCCTGTTTCAGATGGCAAAAGGGGTCAAGTTGTTGATGGTTGGTGTTCTTTATCTCTTGCAAATGCCCTTTTGAGTGTGTTTGACCCTTTCATTTTGGTGACTGCATTCTTAGACAGTGCAGGAGTGTCCTGTTTGCCCCAGGTGGGTTTGGTGGGACCAGCTGCAATCTCGTCTCCTGTGGTAGCTGCTGGAGAACCCGTTTCTGTTCCTGATAATTTACTGAAAATATGCAAGGCCAAGCCTGTTATATTTAAAGGTAAATACACCAGAAGACTCACTTGAGAGCTGCTTTGAAGAGAAATGAAAGTATTCTTGCAACTGTTAGAGAACAATAGAACGTCAAGAGTTGAAAGGAACTTTAGCACATAGTTGACTACAAGCTAAGTGTTAATCAACAGTATTGATAAGCAGTATGACGCAACTGTGAAGAAAGACAGTAGGATCTCAGGATGCATTAATGGCATCAGTAAAAATATAAAGCCCAAAACAGGGGCGATGACAACCCTGCTGTACTGTACACTGGTTAAAACACATATGAAGTGCTGGATGTTAGAATGTTAGGATGTTGGGAGTCCAAGGTATTATATCCGGTTGTCCCTTCCAGTATGAGTAGGCAAAGTACAGAGGGGAGAATTTTGGGAGGTAGAGGAATATCTCTGCTACTAAATTCTGAACATAGTACCTGGAACATTATATATTTAATAATTGCTTGTTAATCAATTAAGACTCTAAGGTAAGTCTTAGCCTCACTTATTCCCATCTCCAAAGGATAGAGATCCCCCAGGATCTTTCTTGCCTATAGGCATGTGGTTCCTTTAGTGCTATGCTCTTGGTAGCCAGGATTAGCTTGGGTGTTATCAGTTATCCCTCCACTAAGCATTCCTTAGAAGAGCTTGCCCACTTTGGGAGTCACATGATGGAGGCAGTTAAATTGTGTGAGCATGGCATTACTAATTTTGATTTGTTAAGCAGGGAAATTCATTCCCAGGGAAAAACAACTCTCTTTTTTCCTAAACCCAAAAGTCATTAATGGAAACTGGTTAATTTTAGCTTATGGAGTCTTCTGACCATGTTTAGCAGTATTTTAAGATCCCTCCAAGATTATACTCATTCTAAGAAGTAGGTAGAAAATAATTGAAATGAAAAAATCATCCTGTTCTTGCCCTAAGGTAGCCTCTCTTTTCTCTGATAATCTATCAGATCTTTGTCCTTAGAAGCGAAAGGCTGAGGTTCAAAATTAGTTTAGCCCAGGATGAAAAACCAGGATGGAATTCATCAGTGGATCAGGTAGAGTCAATCTAGGTGTTAGTAATCTCTATGCTTTCAGCTTCTTTATTCGGTAGTCCCTCTGCTCCATCCCCAGATCTCAAGACATGGTCTAGGAGAGAGTACTCTTTGTCTGGGGCAGGTGTGCACAAGTTAGTCAAGGGTGAAGAACTTGAATCTCAGGGCAGGTAATACATTTCTTTCTGATCTGATGAAGACGAATAAGAGCCAAGGAGACCCTGATCAATTAATTCCTATGCTGGAAAAGCTAGGCAATCAGTTTAGAGTAGAGAAGTCTGTACTCTTTAGGTAATCTTTGGGCCTGTGAACTGAGTAGAGGGTCCTATTTTATTAACTCAGCAAAGACTGTTATGGTTAAGCACCTACTATGTACAAGTTGCTTTTCTAGGTGTGATGCAAAATATAAACATGAATGGGGTCATCTTTATCTAAACTTTGCATCAGCCTCTATGTTAAATGCAGTAGATACTAAATAAATGTTGAATGAATGAAGAAACATTCCCTGTCCTTGGAGATTTTTAATCTAGCTTTCAGCAATAAGATTCATTCACATATATTAAAAGTTAGATACTAAACTCGCTAGATGTTATAGGATGGTATATAGGTATGTTAAAAATGATCGATCCAGACAATTGCTATGTGACCTTAAACAAGTTGCTTTACCTCTCTGTCTGTTTCTTATAAAATGGGTGAAGATTGGGGATGATATTATTTGTGGGGTCAAGCTATCATAGAAGGCATTTATTAAGTGCCTACCATGTGCCAGGCACTATGCATGCTAAGCACTAGGGGATAAAAAGGGCAAAAGTCAGCCCCTGTTCTCAAGAAGCTCATAGTCTAATGGGGGAAGACAACATGCATTTTTATGTCCAAGCAAAATATATACAGGATAAGTTGGAGATAGTTAATGGAGGAAAGACACTAGTTAATTAACATTGGTTAAGTGCCTACTATGTGCCAGGCACTGTTCTAAGTACCGGCACTAAGCTTTGAAGGGGGATCAGGAAGTGCTTGTCATAGATGATGGGATTTCAGGTGGCACTTGAAGGAAACCAAGGTCCCTTCTACCTTGGATATCCTATGACTCCAAGTCCTGTAGAGATCTGGAGAAGTGAGAATTAGTTCCTGTGGACTGTTTCGACTTCATGAAGAAAGTGGAATTTGACATGGACTTCTTATAACTGCTCTCTAGACTCTCAACTCCTGGAAGTCAGGGATAGTTTTGTACAAGGGTGTATGCGAAATGAGATTTTGTACAAATTAAGGTAAATGATCTTGCTCCTTTTCTAGGTCATGGCAACTTTCCTTACCTCTGTGGCAACCTTAGCGATGTCATAGTAAGCTCCCTTTTGTACACCTGCTACCAGAATTCTCAGTCCATATCTCGAGCTTATGAACAATATGGTGCCTCCACGATACAGCCCATATCAGAGGAAATGCAGCTTTTACTGACAGTCTATTATCTTGTTCAGCTTGGTGGGTATCATTTCTGGGGTGGCCTGGGGAGATTGTGGAATATGATATATGTCATTCAGTGTAATGAGGCTGCTGCAAATTAATGATGGTAGTTTGAGAAATACATACATACATACATACATACATACATACATACACACACACACACACACACACACACATATATATAGAAATATATCTATATTTAAAGTGTTTTTAAAAAGTTTTTAGGACATTATGAAGTCATTATGCCTATTACCTTTTTGTTATAGAATGTGGAAAAAACTGTTTATATCAGTGAATGAAATCAAATGTTACAGAGTTGAGTAAAACTGAGTTTACTTTGCAAGTTATTTCAAGTATTTGGATATTATTTTTTCTTCATTTAAAGATGTCATTTGAATTTATTTTCAATTTCATTAAGGATTCTTCTATATGTTTGTACTATGCATTAAAAGTATGTTCTTAACAGAGTTGTAGTACATGGCTTTCTCCCAGGCTTTCTGCCCGTTTAGCTCCAAGGCCTTGCCTTCTATATTTGTCAAGTGACTAAGACACACAACTAATGTTAGGAATGAAAACGGGCTAGTCTGAAAGGGACCCATCTCTGGTGGCCTGGAGGATAGATGATATCTAAGCAGGTTATCCTCTGTGGGAAAAAATTTCGAAATCATTGGGTTGAAAATCTAATCAACTTCTTTATAGGTGGTTTAGGTGCACTCATTTAACTTGTGTCCTGAATTTCAGTTATCTATTCATTTCACACTGGACAATCGTGAGGAGGAGGTATTTTCTTTACTTACATAGCCTGTCTTCCTGGGCTGTTTGAGTAGATCCCAGCTAGACCCTGAGGGCCTACATGGTGATTTTTTTTTCACTTACTCCTACATGGCATAGATATTTGTTAAGATCAATATTTAGATTTCTTCTGTAATTGTAACCTGCTTTAAGTCAACCTGATATAGTAATTACAGCTAGCATTTGTATAGCACTTTAAGGTTGCACAGCGCTTTACACAATGTTAGCCATTTTATCCTCATGACAGCCATGGGAGGTTGGTGCTATTATCCCTATTTTTACAGATAAGGAAACTGAGACAGACAAAGGTTAAGTGACTACCCAGAGTCACAAAGCTAGTAGGTATCTGAGGAAGGATTTGAACTTGGAAAAGGACATGGCAAACCTCTCCAGTATTTTTTCCAAGAAAACCCCAAATGGGGTCATGAAGAGTAGGATTATTACCTAAAAAAGACTGAAATTCCTGACTCCAGGAACAGGACTCTATCCACTGTGCCACCCAGCTGATCTTTACAAGGAAACTTTTATTTATAAAACAGTATTATTTATAAAACAGTATATAAAACATGGAAACAGCACTGGATCTGGATTCAGAAGGCCTGGATTTAACAACTGGCTCTGCTGCTAATTGCCAAGGTGCTTACTAACTGCATTAGTGGTTACTAAGCCACTTAATCTCTCTGGGACTCAGTTTCCTCATCTGTAAAATGAGTCTGGGCTCGATGACTTCTTAGATCCCTTTCTGCTCCAAGCCTATGATCCTTTGATGCTAAAACAAATAAGTTGAAGACTTAGTATTTGCTTTATAAAATGAGTCTTTGATTCCTAGAAATATCTATGCATTTTGTAAACTTTGAAGTGCCCATATAAACTCTAAATGTGAATTGTTGTCATTTATAAATCTATCTGTTTCATAAAAAATCATTTTGTGGACGTTTTCCCCCAAAACAAAACTCATTGTTTAAAACAAGGAACACGCCTTTATTTTGGTGGTTTTAGTCTTCAGTGGATCAATCATGTCAGGAAAGCAGATAGTCTTTTTTTCTCTTCAAAATGAACGTAACTTTAAATTAAAAGTCAGACTTTAAAAAATCAAACTTTGTCTTTTTAGCTTCAGACCAGGTTCCTCTGATTGAAGATCTGGAGCAGATATTTATGCGTTCCTGGAGAGAGTCTCATTTGACAGAGATCCGCCAGTATCAACAAGCTCCACAACAGCCCTTCCCACAAGTTCCTAGTCACATTGCCCCTGTAACATCAGCCCAACTCCCCTGGCTGGCTGGCTTGGCAGCCAGTTCTTGTAATGACAGTGTTCATATCATTGAATGTAGTTACTCTTTGGCTGAGGGACTTTCAGAGATGTTCAAGTTACTCATTGAAGGGAAGCTTGTGAAAACTAACTACGTTGTTATTATATGTGCGTGTAGGAATACACCAATTGACTCCTGCATTGCAGTTACAGGTGAGTCTCATTTTTTCCTTCCTTTTTTTCTCCTCTGCCAGCTGTTCCCTAGAATGCTTTCCTGTCTCCTTTTTGCCTGTTAAAGTCTTACCAATATTTTAAAGTCCAACATAAACACCACATCCACCAGGAAGTGGAAAGGCTTTTCCATAAACACCACATCCACCAGAAAGAAAGGCTTTTCTAGTGATGCAATATTGAGTGTTTTCATTTTCTTACCTTAACAGAATATAAACATCATAAAGTCAGGGACTCCTATAAACATTTTAGAACACATAGGTTTAGAGCAGTCCCTGACTTTATGATGTCTACATTCTGTTAAGACAGGCTTGCACAACATACAGCCTGTGGCTGATTTTGGGTGGCCCTCGAAAAATGTAGGGTTGCCACTGCTTACTCTCCTAATTTTCATGTGACTTGTGGCACCCAACCATTGTCACACTGTCTCTAGTCTAACCTATCTGTGGCCTGAAGAAGTTAAGCCTATTTTAATTTTGTAGGAATATAGAATTCTCTAATCACTTTTTTAATGGTAAAACACTTGTAAGATGAAGAGAGATATCATATTAGTAAGATGTTTCTAAAATTTTTTGAGTTGACAGGTTCACAGGGGTAAAGATAAGTCATAGGCTTTAGAGATGCAAAGGAAATTAGAGCTTCATTTTATTGGTGATAAAATGATATGATAGGACTCATATAGTTAGATGAAATGTCTTCTCTCTTGTTTGCCTGTTGAATCTCTACCTAAACTTTAATGACCAAGTCTAATGCTAGCTGGTCTCCATTAGTTGGTTACAAGGAGTTAAGTGACTTGCCCAAATAAAGAACAGAACCAGGATGTACTTAAACTCCAAACCTGGGACTTTTTCCACTAAATCAGGCTTTCTGCTACTTACCATACTACCAATTTATGGGATGGACAATTGTTCAGCATTTTAAAAATGCTTTATAGTTTTGCACAGTATGAAAATAGGCATTATTATCATTCAACTTTGATATACAAGGCTCAAAGAAACAGATCATTACAACAGAAGACTGAATCCATCAGATGTCATATATGTACATATGTGTATGCATATATACATATGTGATTTGTGCTTGACAAATACTGAGAGCATAAAAATTGGGGAAAGGATTGGTTAATACTTAACAAATATGCTTTGTAAAATTGGTTGTCAATAGGTAAGAAAGAAATTTGGATTCATATCTTTTGCTGTATACCCTATGAATTCTAGCTGAATGGGAGACTTAAACATGAGAGAAACAAACTCAAGAAAAGGTGGGAGAAAATGATATGAACTATAATTGTGCATGAGAGATGATTTTGATTTTAACACAAAAATGGAAGAAGATGTTAGGAATAAGATAGATGTGTTGGCTATATTAAAATTTAAAATAAAAAAATTCTGTAAAACAAAAAAGTCCTTTTATTATAATTTTTAAAAAAAGGGAAACAAATTGGGCAAGTATTAACAGCAAATTAATAGACAGATTAAAAACTTCAAAATATTCAAAGATTATTAAAAAGTCAGAGCAGCAACTTCCATTCCATAAAGTATAGTAAAAGGAAAGGAATGGAACTAAGAATTCCAAGAGGTGAAAGTGAGAGTAGAATTCCAGGCATGGTGAAAAAAATCTCTGCAAAGGTGAGAAAGTGGGAGATGGAAAGTCACGTATGGAAACAGCAAATTGGATGATTTGTTAGAATTTTGAGTACATGAGTGCGAAGTAATTTGAAATCAATCCAGAAAAACAGGGTGGAGCAATATGGTGAAAGACTTAAAATGCTAAACAAGTGGCTTTTTACAGTGTGTCCTAAAGTGTTAGTGAAGTTTTAAGCCATTAAAGTTTAAAGCTTAAAACTGAGTTAAGACCTTTTGGGACACTCAGAATTGTTCTAGAGGCTGTAGGGAGCCACTGAAGCTTTGAGAATAGGAGAAGGACATGGTTAGACTTGTGTTTCAGGAATATTGGTAGCACAGTGGAGAGAGGAGAGAACAGAGGCAGGGAAACCATGTAGGAAGCTATTATAGTAGTCCAGGTAAGAGATATTCATGGCCTCCAGTAGGGGTCTGTGTGTGCCTGGAGAGAAGATGGGTGGGAGGGATGTTCCAGAGGTAAACTCATCCAGACCATACAACAGATTAAATATATAGGATGAGGGAGACTGAGGAGTTGAGGCTTACTCTGAGGTTGTGAACTTTGTGATGTCCTCAATAGAAATATGGACGTTAGGAAGAGGACTCTCCATATCTCTGGACCCCATTTTCCCCATAAAAAAACTAGAATCACTTCACAACTCTTCCAAGGGAAGGGGAAGGGGAGGGAAGGAGAGAGGAATAGAATTTGGAAGGTAAAACTTTATTGTTTAAAAATTGCTTTAACGTAACTGGGGAAAAAGAAAATATTATAAAACAGTATTGATAAATATCCTTTTCATGGCATTTTGTATTGTGTTGGGGGTGGGGTAGGTATTAGAATTAGAATTTGGAAGGTAAAACTTTAAAAAATGTTTAAAAATTGTTTTAACATGTAACCGGGGAAAAATAAAATATTATAAAAATTAGGATTGATAAATATCCTTTTCATGGCATTTTGTATTCGTGTTGGGGGTGGAGTAGGTATTTTCTAATAATTGCTTTGAAACTATGGGTTTCCAAGCGAGACAGAAGAGAAATTCTTGGTTTCTTTTGAAAAATTCTTTATTAGATTTTACTGGGCCAATAGTTAAACCATTTTGAGGATGGAGGGGATATAAGAGAGTGAGAGTTAGTTATGTGTGCAGGGATCTGGGGAAGTATATAGAGCCATAGAATATTGGAGTTAGAGGAAACCGCTGAAAAGAAAACATCAGAGCTGGAAAAAATTATCAGAGCTATGACATGGCTTCTTAATCATGGACTCCTTTAGCAGTTTGGTGAAGCCTATGATCTTCTCAGAATAGTTTTTAAATGCATAAAATAAAACAAAATATGCAAGACTGTGATGGAAACCAGTTATATTGAAATACAGTTATCAGCATATTTAAAAAATAGGTTCCTGCATGCCAGGTTAAGGATTCCTATTTTAGGTTACCTAAACCAAAGTTAAAAATTTTTTTTTAAACAGATCAGTAATTCAAGATTCTTCACTAGACAAGTGAAAAAAACTTATCTAGGGTCATATGAATTTTGCCATCTTGAGCATATTCATTTTAGGCTTATGTAAATTATATTCCAAATGATAATAATGATAGCTAGCATTTATATAGAGCTTACTATGTGCCTGGCACTTTGGAAAGGTACAATAACTTGCTCTATTTTCTAGGAAAATATCAGGCTCGGATTCTCTCTGAAAGCCTCCTCAGCCCAGCAGAGTACCAGAAAGAAGTAAATTATGAGCTTGTGACTGGAAAAGTGGAATCTTTAGGTGCCTTTTTTAGCACGCTTTGTCCAGGTAAGAGGTCCAGTGAATTATTTTTAACTTCCCAGATCTGTGTGATGGGAAGGAACCAAAAAAGAAAAGCCAGAAATATATATTTGACTCTTTCTAGATATTTTAAGGAGAAAAACATTATGGAATAGAAATATGTTACCTACTAAAGCTTTGTTTAATGTCAGGGGCATTGTATAATGGCTCAAGCATTTCATTTTGTATTGACCTATGTTCCTTCCTTTGCATGATAAAAGTCGTTCTGGGTGGTAGGCTGTTTTGACTCTGAATATAGGACTCTTAGAGCTTTATTGTGTCTACTCACAAAAGCTTTTGAACATGCTTCTATTTCTCTTCTCTGTATCTGGTAGAGGGTGACATTGATATTTTGCTGGACAAGTTTTATCAAGAAAACCAAAGCCACATTTCTTCCTCACTTAATACATCAGCAAATAAACCAGCTGTGGTGGATGCCAGTGGGACACCTTTGTGTACAAGTAAGTAACAAGAGAATAGACAGCTGGGATGATTTGGAATTTGAAGGTAGCTTTAGGTTTGTCTACTATCTGTTAAGACTTCAACTGTTTGAGCTTTTCATTATTTTCACTAACTGAAGTCTTTGCCTCCTGAATAAGGAATAACAAAGAAGTCTGTTTATCTCCGTGGGCTAGTTTTTTCTTACCAATCTTTGGGTTGCCTTCTGGCTTCTAACAGAAACTCCTGGATTATTTAGTGCCTTTATTCTCCAGGCCCTGAGGGTTCTGTTTAGAAAGAGGGAAGGATAAGACATTATATCTTTGGGTGGTCTCAGCTCTTCATCCTCTTTTTTTTCCTCACTGTGACTATGTCCTTAGCTTACTTAAATTCTCAAATGAGGCAGTGCCCTTGAGTTTTGTTTGAGTCTACACGGAAGGTGACCAGAATGGGAGGCAGCTTGGTATAGGGTAAGGAGCATTAGGTATGGCAGGAAACCAGGTTCTGAATCTGGGCTTTTTTACTTGCTACTAATATATCCTTTGGCCAAATCACTCCAGCTTTCTGGGCCTTAATTGTCTCATTGATAAAGAAAGGGGTTTGCTTTATATGACTTAATTGTTAAGGTCCTTTCCAGCTCTTTGCCTTAGGAAACCTTGCCCTAGGAAGATCTTTTGAAAGAAATATGTATTTAGTTTGGAGAAAAAAAAAATATTTGGGTGATGGTGGGGGAAGTATTATCTCGGAGTTCAAATATCTGAAAGACTATTATCTAGAAGAGAGAATATTTGCTCAATCAAATAATTTCTTTTTATTTGTTTATATGTTTTTGTTTTAAATACATTTTTAACTTTTATTATTCTGAATGTGACAAATTCCAGAATATAGGAGCATTTCCAGCTACAAAGATCAGAAAAAGAAAATTTTATATGAAAATACTAATCTCCATTATGCATAGCTTTAAAAAAGCCTCTGATACATTCATTATATTGAGTCCAAAGCTGTCCTGTTTATCTGTTTCCCTCTGAATTTTCTTCTATTCTATTCAGCTAGATGGTGCAGTAGATAGATCCTTAGTACTGATGTCAGAAAGACCCGAGTTCAAATTTGCCCTTAGGTACTTACTAGCTGTGTGAGCCCTGAGCAAGTCACTTAACCTTTGTTTACTTCAATTCCTCAATTTTAAGTGAGGATAATAATAGCACCTTCTTTCCAGGATTGTTGTAAGGGTCAAATAAGAGGATGGTTGAAAAGTGCTTAACACAGTGCTGGGCCCACTTAAATTCCTTCTTTCTCATCCTGTACACTTTAAAAAATACTGCATTGATGCTCTTACTTTTTGTATCACTATAATTACTCCTACCCCGACCACCTCCTAATATTCCCCTCCATCAAAAATAATCCCACATTTCTCTTTGTAGTCAGTAAGTACAGTTAAACAAAACAAACCCACACACAGGCCATATCCAAACATACATCTCATTCTTCCCCTCTAGTCTATTGCCTCTCTGTCAAGGCGGGAGGGGGAATATGTTTCCTGATTGGTCCTCTGGATTAGTGGCTGATCATTGCATTGATCGGAGAACATCCTTAAGACTTCCAAACTGTCAATAAATCAAGTGCTATTTGACTCCAGGAAGAAGCAGGATTAATAGGTAGATGTTAGGGGAAGGCAAATTTTGGCTTATAAAGAATTTCCCAAATGATTAGAGCTGTCCAAAAACAGAATGGGTTATCTTATGGGGTATTAAGTTTCCTGTCACTGGAGGTGTTCAAGTAGACACTGAGTGGCACTCTTGCTGGTGATGCTATAAAGCCAGTTCTTTTGTTGGGTGGGGAGTTTGAATAGGGGGAACCCTTGTGTTCCTTTCTACTTTTAAGATTCTGAGACTGTAGGCTGGAGAAAGCAATCCCTTGTTTCACTCCTATTCTCATGCCAGAAGATGAACAGAATGATACCAGTCCAAGCCATTTAGGCCTATGGGGCTTTAAGAAGCCCAAGACATACTGATCTCGAATATAACAGGTTCTAGTCTGAGACCTCATTGAGGTTGTTAAGAGGAGTACCAACAGCAAGAGTTATGGGTTCTAAAGGCCCAATGATGTACATTTCAGTGTTTGCTGGAATTAAATATATATAATTAATTATAAGTGTGTGTGTGTGTGTGTGTGTGTGTGTGTGTGTGTATATGTATATATATACATATACATATATATGTATATGTATATGTATATATATACATATACATATATATGTATATATATACACACACACATATACATACATACACACACACATATATATATATACATACCTATATATACACATATATATGCATAGCTTAATGTATATGTACTGCCTACACATATATTTCCTATACACACATGCCTATATGTATATGTGCATACATATAGGTATGTGTATGTGCATATGTAAAATCCATGTGTGTATACATAGAATGTACATGTATGTGTGCGCACATATATACAATGTATTTGTTATATATATGTATGTATGTATATAAAATTTCCTGGTAAAAGGGTTATCTAGCAATATCTATCTTACTAGGATGAGGCTTTGGAAAGGAGTGAGAAGGCCTGGGAAGATGGTGCAGGAAGGGCATCATTTAAATCTCGATTCAGTAAGCAAGCAGAATAGCAGTCAGTCGGTGGTCAAGCTTAAGAATTCACTAGCATCAGTAAATCCAAAGGGCTCAGCAGGAGTCATGAAACTGAGGCCAGAACAGTGGTCAAGCTTGGGGGGGGGAGAGGAGGTGGAAGAGTATTAGTGTGACTGTAGTTACACTGTTGGAGAAAATAGGACAACATGTTGGTTAAAGGCTCTCTCATCCGGTGCCTCCATTGGAGATGGAGTTCTTTCATGGTGTTGGCATGCTAACCTCTTCCCATTCTTTCTCAGCTGTGCTGGTGCCACTATGAGCCTAAACATTATACCATTAAAGAAATCATACTGAGTTTTCTGTTGGAACCATCCCACAGAATAATAAAGGCCGAGTCAGTCTTGAAGGAATGATTGTGTCGGAAGTAGAGCTCCTATTTTACATGTTTTAATGACTGCGATGATTTCTCTCAGTATTTCAAACCCTGCACACCTCATTCTTTCCTAGTTTCACCTGTTCAAAGAGTCCATACAATAATTTGGTATAGAGGAAAGACCTTGGGTCTGGGGCCCAGACTCAGTTTTACCATTTACTAACAATATGTTATTGGAAAAGTCATAATCTTCTTGTGTGTCAGTTTCCTCATCTGCAAAATGGGAATGATGAAATGTTTACCACCTGCCTTGTAAGTTTATTGTAAGGGAAGGCACTTTGTAAATAAACCATAGAGAGCTAAATAAATGTGACCTATTATCATCACTTATCAGGGATATTGTAGCAGAGATTCCTGCTTAGATGTGGGTTGAATTAGAATAACCATCAAAGACCACTCCAGCTCTGAGGTTTATGATTCCTAAAAACTAAAAAGGGATTGTTCTGACAAAAGTGAAATGCTATTGGTGGAATGCTTTCTAAGTATCTTCTTCTGGGTCAGGGTCTTTTTACCTTTTTTGTGCCATGGGCACCTTTGTCAGTCTAGTGAGGTCTGTGGACTCTTTCTCAGAATAATGTTTTTAAATGCATAAAATAAAATAGAGCATTATAAAGAAACCAAATTCTATCAAAATTCAATTATTAAAATATTAACAAAATAAGTTCACAGGTCTCAGGTTAAGAACTCGATCAAGGTGCTAGAGAAAATGCTATTTTATTAATAATTTAAAAAAAATTTTGGGATAGCTTAGGTAGCTGGAATTTCCTGTACCAATAAAGACTGACATTGACACCAGTAAAGATTCTTCTACCAATGAAAATTTATCAGCTCTGAAAATCTGTACTCACAGACAGTTTTTTTTAAAATAATGCTTGAAATTTATATCTTCTACTGAAATCCTACTCTGATGCTCCATCAAAGGATGGAGATATCCTTGAGTTTACAAAGTCTGAGTCATTGGAGCACAGGCTCTGGTAGCCTCACCAAGCTGGAGAGGCTTTGCAGATGGTGCCTATGAAATGTAGTCTGAGTCGTCATCACCAAGTTGACCTTAGAGTGATGTGTTTTTCTGCACCATCAATTCTCAAAGACCTACTACCAACCTGCAGATAGGTTTCAGTTTGCACTGGTGACATTGATGAAATTCTAGCTCTACCATTTGTATGTTGCATATTTCTGCATTGCTTTTATATATATTAGCACGTGTGTGGAACCTCAGAGCTGGCAGGAGTTTGAGGATATCAACTTCAACTTGGGCTGAACAGAAATTTCCTTTACAACACTCCTGACAAATGCCATTGATAGGGAAATTTCTCTCTTGAGGCAGCTTTAACTGCTAGGAAATTCTTCCTTATGTGAAACTGAAATCATGTTTTCTATAAATTCTAATCCTTTCAATAACGTGGTGAAGTTCTAGGTTTAGAATGCAGGTTCAGGCTGAGAAGCAATAGAATTGGGATTGGAGCCATGACGTCCTGATTCTAAGTCTGTAATTCTTTTCCATTATACCCCATTTCCTCTCAGTAGGGAATGTTTCTCCTTTCAATATCATGACATAAGAGTTCCTAGGAAATAATGTGCTGTAGTTCAGGCCCCAGGCTTGCCAGGAAACACAGGTGTGCCTTTGAAGTTTCTCTTTCATCTATTTTCTGTGTCCCATTCAAGTGCATGCTCAATACCTTGGCCTGAACTAATGGAAGAGCCTCCTGAGTGTCCTTCCTGTTTCCAGTCTTTTCCCTCTTTAATTTGTCCCATGCCTATGCCTGAGCTATAGATGACCTTGCTCAAAAACTGTCAGTTGGCTCCCTATTGTAAAGTAAATTAAGTACAAACTCTTTAGCTTGCCGTTTGAGCCCCTCTGCAGCGTGGCATCACGGAGGCCAGATTTATAGTCCCATTTCTCATCTATATTCTCATTTCTTCCCCTTTATGTTCTAGCCAAGCTGAACCATTAACAATTCACTAATCTTGCTCTGCCTCTTTTCATCTCTGCATTCATCCAATCCATTCTCCATTCCTTTCTCTTCTCTTCCTGATGAAGACTTTTCCTTCTTCCATGAAATAATCCCTCCTTTTCTGATTTTATCTTACCTCTTTGCTTGGCCTCCCCAGTATATTTTTCATTTTAACCTCTTTAATTATTCTATTCACTGTCTCATTTCCTCAACTAGATTGTAAGCCCCTTGAAGTCAGGGTATGGTTTGTATCCATCTTTATAGCCATTGTACCACATATAGCAGCTGATATTTAAGAAATGTTTATCGGATTGAATTGACTTAAACAGAATTGCCTTGATTCTCAGGCTATGGTCTTGAAAGGCATCAGATTCGTCCCTTGCAGCTAGCCGTGGCCCAGAAGCTCCTCTCCCATGTGTGTTCCATTGCTGACTCCAGCACTCAGAATCTGGATTTAGGCTCCTTTGAAAAAGTGGATTTTCTGATCTGTGTACCACCCTCAGAAGTGACTTATCAACAGACCTTGTTTCATCTCTGGCATTCAGGTATATGGGACCTTCAAGTTTGGGATTTTTTGGAGATGTTGAATTTTTCTACTCCATTGTATTTTATCAGACTACATAAGAATCCAGTCTCAAGATATTTTATTATTACCTTCAGATTTTTTTTTCGAATATGAGAGACTTTAGGAATGCTTGTATTGACTATTTGACCCAGGCAGAGCTATTACAATTCACTGGTTGTTGTCAGCTCTCCATTTTATTTTATCCTCTCTCAGAACTGGAAATGGTTTTAAAAAAATTTATTCAGTCATTGGAAAACACTTTGTAGCTTATAGTTTCTTTTGGCTATTGGCAGTATAAATAAACACGACCATTGGATTTAGAGCTAGAAGAAATTTTAGAGATCTTCTTTTCTAGCAGTTCTCAGACTCTTTGGCTTCAGGACCCTTTTAGACTCTTAAAAAATTTTGAGGACTGTTTCCCCCCACCCAAGAACTTTTGTTTATGTGGGTTATATCTATGGATGTTTATCATCTTAATATGAACCATAAAAATAGTTTTGACCTCATGGGCCCCCTGAAAGAGTTTTGGGGACCCCTAACACCATTTGAGAACCACTGATCTAGTCCAACCCCAATATTTTGCTGTTGAGAAACCTAAAGTCTAGAATAATGATGGATTTAACCAAGGTTATACAGTAGTACTAAGTGGCAGAGCCGAGATTCAAATCAGATCTCCAGACTATGGATTTCCTTTTGGACTCCTTAATGAAGTTTTGTTTTCTTCTAGGAGTTTTGCTAGAACTTGGCTTGGAAAAGGAACATGTGACTAAGCAGAGAGTAGAGCAGTATGTAGTGAAGCTGGATGCAGAGGCCCAGACAAAATTTAAGGTTTTTCTGCAGAACTCTCTTCAAAACCCTCATACATTGTTTGTCCTAATCCATGATCATGCACATTGGGATCTTGTGAGGTAAGATGAGTTAGTTTTCTAGTGGGGTTGAAATTTTCTTTCTTGGAAACCATATGTGGGACTCATATTTAAAGCAATGGGTGTAGTTGCTAAAATAGATGATCATGGTTTTAATGATTATTATTTATTTATACAACACTTTGCAATCTGTAAGGTACTTTTCTTCCAGTAACCCTGTGAAGTAATGTTGGTATGATTATTCCCATTTTAAAGAAGGGACAACTGAGGCTTATAGAGGTGACTTTCCAAAGATTAGAGCTTGGATTTGAACCCAGGTGCCTTTGAAGAAGTCCTACATTCTTTACTATACCATGCTTATGTTTGCAATTCATGAGTGAGAGAAGCAGTAAGGGTGTAGTCATATCAATACTGGCCTAGGAAAGTTTTGTTACTTCCTAGCTGTGTGAATTGGGCAAGTAACTTAACCTCTCTCTGTGCATCAGTTTCTGCAAAATGAGAGTTTTACTACATAGCTTGCTTACCTCTTAATTTTTTTGTGAGACTAAAATGATGGAGTGGATGTCAGAACACAATGAAAATGATAATGTGCTAAACAAATGACAGGTATATTTTGTAGGGAAAAGTAGAGTTAATGCACCTATGCCGTAGCTATAACTCATTTATGTAATACCTTAAGGTTTGCAAAGCACTTTTTTTGCAGCTATCTGTCATAATTTACTATGATAGCTGTAACAAAACAGGTAAGTAAAGTAAAAACATTTTTGTTTAATAGGAATGCTAAGGTCATTGCTTTAAAAAGTTGAACTGAATTGATTAAATTAAGCAAAACTAGTGGTCTTATTAGGTACTAGTTATGTATTATTATACTACTAATTAGGTTTTATTATTTCTAACTAGGTGCCCGACTCCCAACAATGCCTATTTTGCGGTAGTGTACAGATTTTATAAATGAAGCACAGAAGCCCCTCAAGGTTTAAGTGACTTGCACACGATCCCACAGCTAGTAAATAGCAAAGCTATGGCTAGAAGACAGGAATCTTGACTTGTGATCCACAACTCTCCACTAGAAGATGCTGTGGTATCTCAAAAGATAGTGGTCACTTTTTTTTTTGTAACCCCTCTACAAAAATCTGGGTTTTCATTGGTGTAAGTATTCCATTCACTCCACAGTTGTAGGACAGAAATAGTGATTGGACTTATGATTTCTTTGGAATAGGGAACTCCCAGGTCAAGAAACTCTATCAATGCAGACTAAAGCCTTCTCTGTAATATGTTGTCTTGAGGAGTTACTGAGAAGTTAACTGACTTGCTTAGGGTCATTGAGAGTATGTGCCAGAGACAAGATGTTTAGCCAGCTCTTTCTGGCTTTGTTCCCGGCTCTCTGTGCACCACATCATGCTCCATCCATTTGTCATATCCCCTAGAAACAACCCAAAACATCTGTTGGGCAGTGCTCTGGCAATAAGCCTTTTTGTATTCAGATAGAGCACTTTCTTTGATGGATGAGAGTGGAGTCTCTGGGCTCATACTTGGAACACTCTGACTTTCCAAGACCTGCCAAAGTTCACACTGTACCTAGCGTAGCTTTGGAATCTAGTGTTGCTTTTGTGCTGCCTCCAGAGGTCAGAGGAGTGCTTTGATGGGACATCTGTTTTTCTAGTAAGAGGTCAAATTGAAGATACCCCATTGGATTTCCTTCTGTCTGTGTTATGTTGACCCTTGATTTGATGCATGTCTCAAGTACTTGGGGCCTGAACGTGGAAGAGAGAGCTCATGGCTGTGATTTATGAATTGTGACCTTGAGCAATTCATTTAAGGGGTATGGTTCTTGGTTCTCAGTTGGTTTATTTGTGAAATTGACCTTCTTCAAAGGGCATAATTTAAAAATCTGTGATGTTGAACTTGATAATACATTCTTTAATCATTTTGCTTTATGAAAATTTTTTTTCCAGACCCATCATATGTGAAGGATACTCTTAATCTCTGACTAAGAATTTTTTAAAAATAACCTTCTTTAAATATTTATTTTGAAAAAAAAAGGCTTACTCATTGCGATCACAAAATGACATTCTGATGGGGGAATAAGTAGTTTATGACCTCATGGAATTCGCAGTCCAATAGGAAGCTTTCTTTGATGGATGACAGTCAAGTCTCAAGGTTCATACTATGGGGGAAAAAAAAGCTGTTGCCTTTGAACTTCTAATCTGGGAGAGATAGTCCTTGCCTTTAGGGAGTTTCTAGTTTAATAGTGTTATAGAAAGAGGGTTGAATTTGGGAATCAATAGAGACCTGGGTTCTAGTCCTTCTTCTTACATTAGATATGTGACCATGGAGTAGTCGTCACCTACATGCTAGGTGTTTGGGATTTTGGTTTTCTCATCTGTAAATTAGGAATAACGTCTAGAGAACCTCTTTTATAGAATAGTTGTGAGGATCTAATGAGATAATTGATCTAAAGTGTTTTATAAAAGCTTAAAACAGCATATAAATATCATCTTTTAACTACAGAGAGATAGTCACTGTCCTTACACAGTTCACAGTTTAGTTGAGAAGAACATTAACACAAATAGAAAAGATTAGGTGTTTTTTCCATTCTATGTAATCCGTAGATAGCAGCTAGGTGGTGCAGTGCCAGGACTGGAGTCAGGAAGACCTGAGTTCAAATCCAGTCTCAGATACTTGCTAGCTGTGTGACCCTGGGTAAGTCACTTAACTCTGTTTGCCTTAGTTTCTTCATGTGTAAAATGAGCTGGAGAAGGAAATGGCAAATCACTCTAGTAATGTCAAGAATACCCCAGATGGGGTCATGAAGAGACATGACTGAAGCAACTGAATGCCAACGAGTATCACCACCACAAATCCATGGATAAGAGTATTTATTAGTGGTTCAGTGGCTCTCAGTTTGAAACGTCTCTGTTTTTCCCCCCTCCTATCTAAGGCAAGCCTCTCCATACTCCTTCACAGGATTTCTTCCTGGTTTGCCTTTATATGGTTAGTTATAGAGTTTATCAGGTTTTTAATTTCATACCTGTAGGGTACCTATATCTTTACAAATTTGTAGAGTTACATACAAAGTTTTAAAAACAGTTCCTGCTTTCTAAAAGGTCACAGTCCTCTAAATATAGTCAACTCAGCTTTCCATTCTGATGGAGTAGTAGTAGAGTGGTAGAGTCAAAAAATTATTTTATATCAGGCATAGAAATATATTGTATAATTAATTATGGTTTTGGAACAGATTTACCTTCCTAATTAAATTTTGCTTAGATGGACTTATTCAGATTACTTTGTATTCCCTTTACACACATTCATACAGATCAGAAACATATTGTGGGATCAGGGAGAATTTAGCTTGAGATTATACTTTCATTATAGGTAATATTTTAATGTTGATCTTACCTTTTAGGGAAATATGAGATTAGCTAAACAGTAGACTGAGTCAATGGCACCTAATAGGTCCTCAATAAATGTCTATTTTATTGTATTTGTTGCAAATACTTGTGAATAGTTGTAAATTTGTAAAATATTTATTTTATTTATTATGACTGAGTCAAGATTTTTTCCTAGGCCCTTAGCCCCTCAGATGCTTAGGGATCATCTCTAGTTCTGTCAGCATTCCATCACTTCTCATTCCTGGAACCAGAGGGTCATAAAGTCCAATTCATAAACCTTAGAACTGTCAGGGCCCTTTTAGAGATAACCTCTTTCCTGTCCTAGCCTGCTTTGTCAGGACAAATGAATAGAGCTTCCTTTTGGTTCACCGGGACTGAGAAACTATTCCACATTCACCCTTTTTGGTAAACTATCCTAGCATTTTATTCCTTGATGGGCAGAAGTCCATTCATATGTGTAACCCAAGTCCCTTCTCTTTTAGGCCCTGTTGTCATGTTATATTCTCAGAGAATGTGGAGAACAACTATTCAGCATCTTATTCAATCAAACTTGTCAAAGTCCTCCTAATCAGTTGAGCGAGCCCATAGTAGAATGGGCTGCCTTGGGAGGTATAAATGGATTCCTTCTCAGTGGAAGTCCCAAAGGAGAGCATGGATGTCCACTTTTCAGGGACATTGTAGAAATTAGGCTAGTGTGGGTGTCTTTAACCTTTTTTTTTTTTTTAAATCAAGAAGCTCTTTGATAGTCTAGTAAGGCCTGTGGACCCCTTTGCAGAATGTTTATTGCCTACATTCATAATGGAAGGAATGGCTAAATTTTCAGTTAGAGGTTAATGAAAATAAAAATGTCATTTTTCTCCCATCCAAATTCACAGACTCCCTGAAATCCATCCATGGACCCTAGGCTATTAGCCCTCACACTAGATGATCTCTGAGGTTCCTTCCAACTCTGATTCTGTGGCTTCATTTGGAAGGGACCAAGAGGTAGTAAAGTATAATCAATAATGCTAGACTTGTTGACATTGAGATGGGTTCAAATCCTGCCTTTGACTTTTATTAACTATATGACTATGAGCAAGTCACTTAATCTGACTGAGCTTCCAATTCCCAATATGTACAGTGGTCATGATAATACTTGTGTTATCTATTTGCTATGGGGCTCAAAATGAGCTTTTATAAGTATATATATATATATATACATACACACATGTACACATATATACATATATACACATGTGTACATATATACGAACACCTACGTACATACATACACAAACGTATATGTATATATGTGACTTATACATATCACAGATGTGTGCTTTGCAGTTTTTAAAATGCTATTTTCAGAAGACCTGGTGTGTGTGTGCCCGCACACGCATGCGTGCACACCTCAAAGATAATCTGGTTCATTTCTCACCTCAGATAGGAATTTTGTCTTTAGCCTCTCTGATTAGTGGTCATCTTACCTTTGTTTGAATACCTTTACTCTCAGGGTACACAAACAACTAGTATTCATTAAGTGCCAGAGGAAGCTGGGTGAAGTTGCAGAGTAATGAACTTGGAAGCAGGAAGACTTGAGTTCTAATCTTGCTTCAGGTATTTACTACCTGTGTGACCTGGGCAAGTCAGTCTTAGAATGAGGTTATTCAGCAAGCACCCTTCTCCAGGCCAAGGCTTTGAGGAGCAATCCCAGTAGTCAGCGCTTAGCACAGAATAAGTCTCAACAAATACCTGTTAACTGATTGTCTAATACTCTACTTTTACTAAGGAATAATTTAAAAGAAAGACAAGGGAAGGGAGAGGAAGGGGGGAAAAGGGGGAAAGAAAAAGGGAGAGAGACAAAGATACAGAGAAATGCAGAAGCAGAGAGAAGAGAAACAATGAACTTAAAATTATGTTGCTATTTCTCAAAAGTTAATACTTAAGAATATTGAGACAATTTTTGTTATTCAGTTTTCATCAACCTAGCTCCCTTTACTTCGGGGTAGAAGTAGATCATTTACTAGTCCCTACTGGGCCCTTCTTTACTCTCTAGACTTTGCCACCATGTGTCAGCTGCCTTCTCCCCCCCCCCCCACAGCCCACCTCTCCCATAGATCAGTATGGCTACCCCCATTTTACAGTGACTAATTGACTTAGTCATTTACCTAGATAACTCAACTCAGTCAAAATGACCTTAGATGCAGATGTAGCTGGCTTTTGACTTATTTGATGAAGGGGGCACAGTTTTGGGGCAGAGAGAGCCTCTTAGATGGTTGGCTAGGGAACAGTGTTATAATTTTGCCTCAATTTAGGGTAAGTACTTTTACTTTATCATTGAGTTTGCTACTCTTAGCTTTTTTGAGACTTTTTAGAGAAGATGTTGAGAAAGTAAATGAGTGGGATTTGAGACTAATGAGGAAAATCTCACTGTATTTTTTGAGTGACCAGGTACCTCGACATTTTTGTTTGGTAATATTAAAAATATCCCTGTTGTTTCTTCTTTTCCTCTTCTTTCCCAATACCAACAGTGCTGTTCATAACCTCTATCCTCAAACTGAGCCATCAGTAGGACTTGTTGATCGACTACTCAACTGCAGAGAGGTGAAAGAGGCACCCAACATTGTGACCCTCCATGTGACCTCTTTCCCATATGCTTTACAGACTCAGCATACCCTGATCAGTCCTTACAATGAGATCCATTGGCCTGCTTCCTACAGTAATGTAAGAAACACATTTCTGGGGTAATTTTATGATTCTTAAAGTATTTATACTGGAGCCTGGAGAAATTATATGGTAGAGCATCAAATAACCAGAACACTTCAGGAGTGCCATGGTGATGGTAGTAGTGATTAATTGGATTTCCTAAATCTCATGGAATATTCATTTATTAATTCATTCATTTAACCAGTGTTTATTGGGTAGAGGTATGGCATAGTATCCAGAACACTGACTTTGGATTCAGAAGATCTGGGTTCACATCTCCATTCTCCTACTTAAGGAAATAACTTAATCTCTTGGGGCTTAATTTTCCTTATATATAAAAGGAAGGGATTGGCCTCAGCAGCTAGAGTCCTTTCCAATTCTAAAAATTTTTGATACTGCTCTGTCAAAGCAGAATATTAGGTACAAAGGGGTATACATGGTCTCTGGCTTGAGGGAGCTTATAGACCAGTAGAGCTTACCTCTCACCCTATCTTTTTCAACTTTTTGAAAACCTTCCTAAAATATTTCTTTTTTATCATGGTAGGCTGAATCTAGTAGAGTTGATTAATTGAACATCTGGTAATCTAGTATCTTGCCATGGCCTTAGGTCATCTTGATATAAACTTTAGTTCTCAGTGTACAGGCATGTATATAGAAGGTGCAGGAGCTCACAAAAACAAGAATATGATAACTCACATTTCTGTGTTACTTTATAGTTTGCAAAGTGCTTTGCATCCCTTGTCTTATTTGAGAATCACAATAGCTCTATTATTACCCTGTAATTTTACAGATGAAGCATTAAGGATCAAAGAAGTTGAATTACTTACTCAGCATTTGCACAGCTAGTACCTGTTTGAATGGGGATTCAAACTCAAGCTGCTTGAATCCAAGGCCAGGGTTGGTTGTATTGCTGTATCATGAATGATGTGGTTGTTCGTCTTAGAAAACATTTTGAAGCCTTGATGTCAGCCCATTTACTGATTATCATCTGCATTCTTTTCATTAAAACAGAATACAGAAATATTTCTAATTACTTAAGAGCTCTGACTAAGTCTGGAAATTAGGTTTTTACTGTACATTGCATGTATTTTCGTAAAGTTGTAAATGTGGGTTATTTTTAGGACTGATGTTAAAGTAAATAAATTGTTTAGGACATGTTAGCAGTTCTATAGAGAAATTTCTTCATCATAAACCTAGATTTCTTTTTAAAATTAATTTTTTCATTTAGTGAGTTTTCATTTTCTCTTTCCCCTCCTTTCTAACCCATTGGGGGAAAAAAGGAAAAAAAATCCTTTGTAACAAACCTGTAACAAATTCCTACATTGACTATGTGTAAAAATATGTGTATCTTGAGTCCATTACATTTCTGCATCATTGGACCACTAGAATTGTAATGAATTTAGATTTCCATAGCAGCTTAAAGCAATGTGGTCAATTGACATATTTCTAAAACCAGCTTAAAGCCATCTTAAGTAAAATGAATGGTTGTGAAAAGGCCTTTCTTAAGACAAATTGCATGATAAAAATAAATATATACTTTTCATGCAGGAGTCTGGTGATCCTGATGGGTACAAAAGAATAAGAATAACCTTAATTTTGTTGCCACTCAGTGTGGGTAGTCTTAGAAAAATGGTGTGAGAACATTGCCCTATAACTTCAGGTATAGAAGGGCTATTCGCTAATTGACTTATCATCATAAAATCTTGATTGTTTCTCCCTTACCCAATTGTGGAGTTAATAATTCCTATGTGGTTGACTTACCTTTTACTCTCTCTTGCCACAGCACTGCCATAAATCTTGCTTTCTTCTTATTATTCCTCTCAAATTCTGCATTTTCTGTCCTCCATGCCACCCTGACTCTCCATACCATAGCCATGCTAATCATAATATGATTGTATTATACCAAAGTGGCCCTATACTCCATTTGACACTCTCCTTGCTTTTATTGCAGAAAGGAGGCAGTGAAAATGTGTATTGGGAACTCGGTAGCTGGTATTTGTTGGGCAAACGTCCAAACTCATTAATAATTCCATGACAAATGGTAGTCCAGTCAAGATCCATTGTTTCCATGAGTGATATGTCTCAGTTACTAATGATTTGGTTTGTTTCAGGGAATGGACTTATATCAGGAAAACAAAAAATACTTTGGACTCTCAGAATTTATTGAATCTACTCTTTCTGGACACAGCCTCCCTTTGCTCCGATATGATAGCTCTTTTGAAGCAATGGTCATGGCATTAGGAAAAAGGTACTTTAAAAAAAATCGTGGATGGTGATTAAAAATTGTATAAACGATATTAGGAACTATTTCTAAGAATTACAGCTATATAGTAAATAGATTGTGCTATCCCCATCACTGGCAGTGTACAAGCTGATGTTGGGCAAACACTTTAAAAATATTATAAAGAATATTCATTTTTTGGGAAGCAATTTTGATTAAGAGACTTTTAAGGTATACAGCAGCATGCTATAATGGAAAGAACACTGGATTTTGACCTTAGAAGACTTGATTTTTGAATCCAGCGTTTCTTATATAGTACCTGTCTGACCTTGGTAGTCACTTAATCTCTGGACCTCAGTTTTAATAAAAATGACTCAGATATTTTTGATAATAATGACTCAGTCATACACAAGCACTATATGTATAGCATTGTGCTAGGTGTTGGAGACAAACAAAACATGTAACAGTTCTGGTGTGAAAGGACTTTACATTCTACTCAGGGGATATAATAGGTAAACAAGTCTTATTTGGGTTTAAAGCTATGATTTTATTGGCATCCTAGAATAGACATTCCCTTCATTGATGTAACTTAGCAACTCATAAGGAACTAACAGTCTCAGAGAGTAGCTTGGGTACTGGGATGTTAAGTGATTTGCCCATGTTCACACAGTTAGTATGTGTCAGAAGCATGACTTGTATTCAGGACTTTTCTGACTTCACACCTGGCCCTCTATTCACTAAGTAAAATTGCTTCTCAAGTATGCAAGTAATTAAATACGAAGCAAAAGTAATAAACCACAATTTCAAAGGGATGTAAGAGTCCTAACAACTGGGAGACAGAAGAGATCAAGAAAGTGGCACGTGTGAGTTGGCACCTAAGTTGTGCTTTGAAGGTAGCTAAGAATTTTGGAATGTGGAGATGAATAGGAAATGGCACATTCCAGATGTCAAGATCTATTGATGTGAAGGCATGGAGCTGAGATATTCGATGACATGTGTAGGGAAAAATTAGCTGGAGCGTTTGACTGGAATGGAGGGCATTTGAAGAGGAATAACAGGAAACAATTTTAGAGAGGTAAGTGGGAGCCTGACTCTGGAGGGCTTTAAATACCAGGCTCCTAAAGGCAATAAAGGTACAGAAGATTTTTTGAGTCAGGAGATAATTTGATCAAATTTGTATTACGTATTGGTTTTAAACAAGAAGTTCTGAAAAGTCCCTTCAATTTCTAAATCTAATGCTCCTATGTCCCTTCCAACTCTGAAAGTCTGTGATTGAATATAAACAGCAAAGCTAAAATGTGGATAGGTTATTAATTAATTTCTTGGAACATTCCATTCAGTTGTTTCATTGTATGGATGTTAAAGGCTTTTCCTGGTTATGTGTTATGATATGTTTGCATGACATTAAAGGCTCAAAGCTTTGTCACTTGAACATTCAATCTTTATATACACTCAGAATTTTTTTATTATTTAAAAATTATGTATTTGACACACATTAATAAACTAGGACATTTTCTTAAAAAAAGAATAAAAGAAGATTGCATCCATGAATCTGTTATGCATAGACTTTAAGCATATGTGTGCCTATGTGCACATATTTATATATGACATAACATCAAATTTGTGATATTTCTCTGCTTGTCTTTATCTTCTTTCAGTTTTTCTTCTGCTCCCTTCTTTGTACTTTTGCTTTTAATATTTTATTGATACTTTTTCTTTCTGTCTTTTTTGGTGTCACTATCATTAACCTCCCCTTCCTCACCTTTTCTTTATTCTAATAACTCCTTTCCCCTCAAAAAAACCTCATCTTTGTAACAAATAAGTATAGTCAAGCAATGTAAATTACATATTGGTCATGTCTGAAAACTTAGGTCTCATTGTTTATGGGCCTCATCCATCACTTCTTGGTCAAGAGGCGGAAATTATGACTCACCTTGAGTTTTTTGGAGTGGTATTGGCATTGCATTTTTCATAGTTCTTAAGTCTTTCATAGTTGTTTTCCTTCATAATGAATAAACATTTATTTAAGACCTACTATTTGTAAAGACTTGTATTTAGGACTTTGTGAGAAGAGAAGATGAATAATGCCTAGTTGGTGAACGGTTTGCTTATTCTTGTGTATTTGATCTTTTGAGCAAAGATACCTGCCATCTCCTTGTTATTGTTAAATTATAGGCATGGGTCCTCAAGTACTGGCAATGAAAGGCTAATTAATAGGGTTGAAGGGGGAAAAAAACTTGTTTAGGAAAATGAGAACAAAGTTCGTGTCATCAGATCTAGTGCAGAAGCAAACCAGAGCTCACAGTAAAAGCCAAGAATCAAGTGTAGGCACAGGGGTAGATAAAGGAATTGTAGCAATAGTATAAAACCAAGAGAGTCATCAGAGGATTGGGGAGAACACTGAAAGGGAGAAGTAGGTCTTGCTGAAACTAATTTTGTCTCATATAACTTCTTCCTAAGATGTCATTCTTTCATTCTTTTGGTATCTGAAACATGTCCCTTCTTTGCTCCAAGGGGCTACTTTTTCTGTAGTCTAGGATGGTCATAAATAAATAAACACTAACATCTGTCATTGACATAATGCTTTATAGTTTATAAAGCACTTGTATTTGTGATCGCTTCTGATCCTCACAACAAGCTTGTGAGATAGTCAGGGCTATCACAAACATACTGATGGCCATCTGTGAGTTTATGGTTGTATTGGCAGACTGCTTTCATCCTGCTTTGCTTTTCTCTTCAATAAGCATGGAGGTAGGAAAGGGTTTTCTCCCCCTTTCCTCCCCATGACGATAATTTGTATATTTCACAGCCAGAAGGGAAGAAGTATTTACAAAGAATTGGTCAACAAAGGTTTATTAAACAGCAACTGTTTATAGAACTCTGTGCCTGCTGCTGGAGGAGAATACAAAGTTAAGACACAGTTCCTGTCCTTATGGAGTTTATAGTCTAGCTGGTGTAGTGCCTTAGAATAAGGTGAGATCACCTGGCCCAACCCTTCCATCTTTTCATTTTATATAAGAAGAAACATACCTAGAAAGGTGAATGAAGTGTCTCGATTGAGGTCACAGCAACTTAACCAAATTATTCAATAAACTTTTCAGTCAACAAAAATTGATTATGTATCTATTCAGCATAAAGCCTGATGCTGTATCCTGGAGAGACCAAGATATTCAATAGGTGCATAAATATTTGTGATATGGGGGGGGTAGGGTGATGGAGAGGTTCAGGCAATGTAGCAGAGCTGCCAGCAGGACCTGAGTTTCTTAGTCACATGTTCTTGTCATGACACCTTACTGTCTTCTCAGGAGACTTTGGCCTGGGAAACTCCCTTTGGAATAGCAATAGCATTTTCAAACAGAGAAAGAAGTAAATGTAGGATGCAGTATGGTCTCCAATTGGCCGTTGTTACTCACAGCCCTGCTAGATTGCTAGGTTTGCTGGTGTTCCAGAAATAGATACCAAAGTACAACTTGGGTCCAGGACTGTTAGACTATGAACCATAGAGGTAATTGAGTCGAAATTTGCAACAGCATTTTAGCCTTAGGACTGTCTGTCATTAGGTCCAACACAGATTCCTGGAATCAGAAGGGGTCTCTTACACTATATCATCCAACCCTCACTTAGTGGATAATCCCCTTGTAAAGAATGTGATGGGGGTAGATGCCATGAAGTGGGAAAACCACTGTTGAATAGTGGTCAGATGTTATTATTATTATTATTGTTGTTGCTTGCACAAAGTACACAGTATGGTTCACTTGTGCTTTTGTGCAGAGTAGTACGTGGGTATATCTTGTTTTAGAGAAGCCTCATGTGGGTATATGTTGTGTATCTGTTCCCTCTATGCCCAGTGTCAGGCTACTGTGACCCTAACACAGACATGCCGAATGGCTAGGCAAGGGCTCAGAAGGACACAGTCATAACTGGCCACTCCTTTGGTGATCTATCTGTTAATCTTCTAGCAACTTACAGGATGGTCCATGGCATAAGACTCACTAGCACAAGGCAGAAGAAAGACACGTGGGAAAAGAAACCTGAGTAAATCAACTTACTGAAGCCTCAAGGCTTTGCCTTAGTAAAGGCTGCCTACTCTCTCCTAAAACACACATCTCAACCACCACAGGGTAATGAGCCAGTTTAATGCTAACCCAGAGACTCTGGCTTATGCTTTTAGCTATGGCCTGTAGACAGCCTCAGAGTGGGAGTGAAGCATGGACTTTGGGAAGCCATTTTTGCCTTCTTACGCCATAGACAGGATTCACTCCCCTTTTCAGAACCACATTAAATGAGTTGCAGATTGTTTAGTAAAATGGCTGAGGAGGGGGTAGGGTGCTGTGACCCCAGCCTTTCTGCTCCTTAGGTCACCGTATTGTTTTCCTGTCTTCAGGTTTCCTAGATTGCATAGTGCAGTGATAAGGACGTTTGTCCTTGTGCAGCATTACTCTGCGGCTATGATGGCCGTCAGCGGCCTGTCGCAGATGAAGAGCTACACATCTGTGGAAACCCTGGAGATCACCCAGAACCTCATCAATTCATCTAAGCAGTGTGCCTGCGGGCATGGGCTCATGGTGGTGCTCCGGATTCCTTGCATCCCCCTGGCTGCTGTGGCTTATGAGCGGCTCTATCACGTGAGGGAAAGACTAGCCCTAGAAGATCACTTTGAGATCATCTTGGGGAACCCCAATTCTGCCATCACCATTGGGAAACACTTTGTGGAACAACTAAAGGTAAGCCAATGTTAGACTCCTTTCCCACCTTCCTTCCACGAGGAGACTTATATGGATGAAATTCTGTTAGTGTGGGTCGCTAGCCCATTGTCTAGTCCTCTTGCTTTTATCTCATGTGTTCATGGCTTTCTGTCAATTTGATGAGAATTCTCTTTCTGTCTTGAGCCACCTTTGGGTCAGTGTGAGGCTGAGGAAACAGTATGAGATTTGTTTAGAAGACCTGGGATCACACCGTAGCCACCGTATTTACTGTTTGTGTGTCCTTGGACAACTAATTCACTTCTTCTCTCTGGCCCTTAGTTTTCTTCTCTGTACAATGAAAGGGTTGGACTATATTCTGTCTAAAGTCCTTAATTATATTAAATCTTATTATCCTATAATCCAGAGCTTCCTTAAGGGGAGGGCAGCTGCTCACAGAAGGATTATGCCTTCCATTTAAGAGATGGAAGAGAGCTCAGGGTCCAACTAGTACAATCAGGGCCTGATCAAGAATGTATTATTGTAGTATGTATTTTGTAGCTACTTCTCTGCATACATGTTGTTTCCTCTATTAAAATGTAAGCTATTTGAGGGCAGAAACTGTTTTTGTTTGTGTTTCTGTATCCCCAATACCAAGCATAGTGTACATTGCTGTTGTTCAGTTGTTCAGTTGTATCCAATTTTTCATTACTTTGTAGACTATACTATCCATGGGATTCTCTTGGAAAATTTATACTGGAGAGATTTGCCATTTCCTTCTCCAGTGGATTAAGGCAAACAGATGTTGAGTGACTCACCCCGGGTCACACAGCTAGTGATTGAGGCCTGATTTGAACTCAGATCTTCCTGATTCCAGGCCCAACATTCTATCCACCGAGTCGTCTAGCTGTATACATAGCAGGTGCTTAATAAATGCTTATTTATTAAATAAACGAATAGATTATCCCTCACCTCCAGATACTCATAGTCAAACCCTCTTATTTTGCAGATGAAACTGAGAAATGGGGAAGAGTCCATGAACTTACTTTCATTGGTGAATACTTGGGCAGAACTTAGGGTGGAGGTTGGGGGACAAGAACTCAGATGTGTCTCCAGAATAGAGAAGAGGTCCCTTTTGACTTTCAACACAAAACCTAGGAAAGGGAGCAGTGTTTATGATGTCAGCATGGAATGCTCTGTATATACTGCTAAACCATGTATGAGAATGCACATTGCTCCAGAAAGCTAAGGTTATCCATGATTAGAATTGTTCAGATGTAATCCGAAGTGGTATCTAAACAAAGCCCTAATGTTAATCTGTGAAAAATGTGCCAAAAATAAAAGTGTAACAAAAATAAAATTGGAGTTGATGATGAAAGGAATTGGTGAAATTTTAACGCCAAGGTTAAACTTGCTAATATATTACTAATTTCAGTAATTCAAGTATCCTTGATTTTCTGTATGGGGGATTTTCCCTGAACTAGTGAAAGTCATAATCTGCGAGTGTTATTGATTGAGTGGTTATCTGTTTGGATATACCTCCCTCCACATGTCTGTCCCTACCAGTGCCAGTCCTTAGTACTTTCCATGCCATATTATTTTTGTTAATAATATTATGTATTATAATAATATAATATAATATTATGTTAATAATAATAGCTTTAGCATTTATATAATGCTTTAAGGTCTGGAAAGCACTTTACAGATGTGATCTCATTTGTTCCTCACTATAGCCCTGAGGTGGGTGATATTGGTATCCCTGTTTCTAGATGAGGCTGGCAGCATTTAAGTGAACTTCCCTGGGTCACAAGCTAGATTTTGGTAGATAATTTCATGTGTTTCTGTGGTTGAAAAAAATCATCCCTTTGTTATCAACCTATTGGTGATGAATTTCTTTGTATTTTGCTAGCCTTGATCAGTGACTGGATCCATGCTAGAAACCTTGTTGATAGGACCTGCCAGAGAGTGCTGTAATGAGGCTTTAGAGAAGGACTTGAGTAGAAATTGATTCATCTCTTTCTTTCTTTCTTTCTTTCTTTCTTTCTTTCTTTCTTTCTTTCTTTCTTTCTTTCTTTCTTTCTTTCTTTCTTTCTTTCTTTCTCTCTCTCTCTCTCTCTCTCTCCTCCCTTCCTTCCTTTCCTTCCTTTCTTCCTCCCTCCCTTCCTCCCTCCCTTCCCTCCCTTTCTTCCCTCCCTTCCCTCCTTCCTTTCTTAATCTTCCTTTCTCCCTTTCTTTCTTTCCTTCCTTCCTCCCTTTCTTCCTTTCTTTCCTTCTTCCCTTCATTCCCTCTCTTCCCTCTCTCCCTCCCTCCCTGCCTCCCTTCCTTCCTTCCTCCCTCCCTTCTTCCTTCCTTCCTCCTTCCTTCCTTCCTTCCTTCCTTCCTTCCTTCCTTCCTTCCTTCCTTCCTTCCTTCCTTCCTTTCCTTCTTGTATCTGTATATATGCAAATACACAAATGCACAAATCTCTGGGACATTTTACTTGAGACTTTTTATATTGGCTTGGCTGTGGAACCATTACCAACTACCCATGCCTCCGATGAATCCACTAACCATGTGCATCAGTATATCAGCTGATTCTGCAGCATGGCAGAGTAGATAGTAGAGTCATGTTGAATACTTACTGTCTTTCACTCATATTAGCTGTGTGCTCATAAGCAAACCACTTAATATCTCAGTGCCTTAGATGATTCTCTGAGAAGTTGAATCTAAGACATTGCTATATTGTGGTACATTGGTATATAATACCTAAGACATTTCCATATCGGAAATTCCCTTTGTCCAGTGAAATCATGGGTTCAGTGTTCCCCTTCCACTATTCCCACCCTAAAAACAAAAACCCACACAAGAAAATAAAATCACAAGACATCCAGGGCAAGATATATATATTTGCAGGCATGCCAGGATTCCTTAAAATATTTTGCTTGGTCCAATCATTTTTTTCTCAGGTTCAATCTAATTTCATTTAAGTTTTGAATTTGTAGGTGGCTGCTAATTTGGATGACATTATTATCTTGTGTAGAGGTATGCATGTCTGCCTTTTTATAAAGAAAAATATTAACTTCAAACTTGGGGAATGAAAGATTAAAAAAAAGTATGTATTTTAAATGTGTGTAGCAAGAACTGTGTTATTACACCAGAAGTAGATACTATCTATTCTTTATAGTCATTTTTTAAAGTTTAGAAACTGTACTGTGCCTACTTCTGAATGACCTTGAGATTTCATGTGGATTAAAACCTGCTAAGAACAGACATATAAAAATATGACAGAAAAGAGATTTTCTGAAGGAGGCCAGCGTGATAGATGCTTTTTAGATAATAATCAGATTCTAACACTTGGGAAATAAGGTTCTAGTAGTGAAGGCAAAACATATTGGGTCGTGTAGTTTTCATATTATTACAATTAAAAGACCAATTCATCTGGAGACTTTCTCCCCCAGAATCAGACCCAAGCATGGCTTTATCTCATAAGCCTTTGTATAAATAAAAGATAGAATGGCAAAGTAGATAGTATAATCAATCAAGAAATCTGAAACTACAGATGAACCAATTGTTTAGCATGATTTCATTCAAAGCAGCAAAGACTTATTGGTGGAAAGAAGATTAGATTTGGAGTGAATGGATCTGGGTTCAAATCCTAGCTGTGCTGTCTACTACTTGTATAACCTTGAACAAGTCAAGTTGAACCAGTCTGGGCCTCATTTTCCTCATTTGTAAAATAGGAATAATAATATTTTTTTACCTGCCTCACAGGGTTATTGTGGGACCTTTGCTTGTAACTGTAAATCACTATAGAAATATAGGTTATTACAACCAATTCAAGGCATTGACAAGTGGCTTTTTCTTATGTGACAGATATGGCAGAAAATTGAAGATGCAGAATGGAGGCCTCAGACTTACCTGGAGCTAGAGGGCTTGCCTTGCATATTAATATTTAGTGGAATGGATCCCCATGGAGAATCCTTGCCGAGGTGAGCACATGAGTACAACCTATATTTCCACCTATTCTCCACAATAACAATGTCTTACATTTATTTGGCTCTTTATAGTTGCAAAGTGCTTTTCTATGTAGTATTTGCCCTGGAGATGTAGCACTGCAAAGTGGTTAAGGCATTGGACTTGGAGGTAGGAAGATCTGAATTCAAATCTTGCTTCAGACCCTTACCAGCTGTGCAGGTTTGATTGAGTAACTTAAATGTCTCCGTGCCTGTTTCTTCATCTGTAAAATAGTCATTTGGACAATGGCTTGTAATGTCCTTTTCAGCCCTAAATCTATGCACCAACGATTTCTTTTGATTCTCATTACAACCTTTTGATGTAGGTGCCACAAATATTGTTGTCCTCATTTTATAGATGAGGACACTGAGGCTCATGAAGATCAAGTGACTTACCCAAAGTCATGCTGATAGGAAGTTGAAGAACAGAGACTCAAACTCATGTTTTCAGTCTGATTCCAGGTCTAGTGCTTACCATGTTGCTAGTAAGTGTGTGCTATTTTATAGGTAATGATAATGATGATGATGGTCATGATGATAACAATAATAACAATGATAGTTAACATTTATATAGCACCTACTATGTTCCAGGTACTGTGATAAGCAATTTACAAATATCTCATCTGATGCTCACAACAACCCTGTGAGGTTGGTGTTGCTGTTCTCCCCATTTTACAGATGAGTAAAATGAAGCAAATGGAAGTTAAATGACTCGCCCAGGGTCACACAGCTAGTAAGTACTTGAGGCCAGATTTGAATACAGGGCTTCCTGACTTCAGGCCTCTGATACTTTATCTAGTGCGCCACTTGGCTTTTGCATTTTTATTTTCCTTCTCAAAATTAGATGGGGCAGTGTAATGTAGTGAAAACAGGTATCACATATGGAGTCAGAAGAGCTAAGAGATGGTTATGATGTGGTGCTGCAGATATAGCACTGAGCCTGGAGTCAAGAAAAAACTCGTGTTCAAATTCTGCCTCAGATACTTTCTAAATGTGGCCTTGAACAAGTCACAACCTCTGCTTGCCTCAGTTTCTTCATCTATAAAATGAGGATAATAACAGCACCTATCTCCCAGGGTTGTTGTGAAAATTAAATGAGTTAATATTTGTAAAGCATTACACAAATGCCAACTTTTATTAAGATCTAGTCTTCACAGCTTATTATACTATCTTCTTGTTTTTTTTGAAAGTCAGGATATTTGCCCATCTCTAAACCTGTGGTGCCTCTCCAGTTCTCATAAATCTTTCAGATGTATCTGAAAGTGGCTCAGCAATTACACCTTCCAATTATTTCAGTCAGTACCTGGAGACATAGGTCATGTGGGTCAGGTGATTTGGATTCCCTAGGTGTTCTCTTACTGCCCTTCACTTGGGCATCGTTTCCCTATTCTCCACTTTTGCTCTATCCTTCTAGTTCAGTGTTTGTTCTTTTTGGTAAAGGCAGAAACAACATAAGAAACAAGCTATTCTGTTCTCTCCCTCTCTGTTACCAATTGTCATCATCCCTTCTACCCTAATAGTGGTGTTGTCTCTTCTTTTGTTCTCCTATTTCCCTTGATATAGCTTTTTTTTTTTGCTTAGCTTTCAACACCAGCCTCATATCATTCTAAGCCTTAGCACTCTTGATACTATTCATATGGTACCAAACTTTTGTATTCATCCTCTTTCTCTCATTGTGTATGTGTATGTATGGTGTGTAGATATATGTCTTTCTGAAGTCCAAGTTAGTTGCTGAGTTCTCTGGAGGTCCACATTTATTTCTTTAGACAATTCTTCTTTTTATTCCTCATTATAATTATTTTTAATTATGAAGCTTTTTAGACAAACTTGTATCTAGTCTCTCCTTTCCCATTCTTGTACTTAGGTTGAATTTTTGAACCTGTAGTGAAGTTTCACAAAGGTAAATTCATTTGATTAGAACAATGAAATCCATTGTTCTAGCCTATAGAGATCTTTTGGGAACCTGACTCTGTCATGTTCATACATTGTTCTAGCTATCCTTGTCAGCTCTGTGTCTTCTGCAGATTGATGATCATGCCATTTAGGCCTTTATCCCAATCAGTAATAAGTAATAAAGCAGCACTGAGCCAAGGATAGTAGTAGATTATTACCTCCTTCAGAGTAGAGGTCATGTCTTGTTCTGTCTTGTGTCTCCCATAGCATCTATCATAGTTGTGGACCTACTCTTGGGGCTCAGTGAAGACATGCTGATGGGTTGGTTTTTGTGACTAAAAACATATAAGAGCATATATTCTGCTTGTTTTCCTCCCCTCCATTCCTTTTTCTGGTCTACCCAGAACTCAACATTTTGGGGAAGTATTTCAGGTGATGGTGGGTAAGGTCTGGGGAATGACCAGAGCCATTTGTCTCATTCTCTTATCTATTCTTAGGTCTTTAAGGTACTGTGACCTGCGTTTAATAAACTCGTCCTCCTTGGTGAGAACAACTTTAGAGCAAGAGCTTGGCTTGGCAGCCTATTTTGTGAGTTCTGAAGTCCCCGTGGAGAAAGTGACCATAGGTGAGGTCTTGGAAAGTGACCCGGAGAAGCTGAGCAGTACAGATAATGAAGATGAAGAGTTAGTGACTGAAGGTGTGTGGGCATGTTTGCAATGAGTGACTCTGGCAGGCCCTTCAATCTGCAGGTTGACTTCTTCGCAACCTAATTCCTTAATAGAAATGGTAGACTTTGCAAGTTAGTATTGTACACGTTGTAAAATGGAGTCCTGAAGATACTTTTAATGTAGTTCACAAGATTGATGGTATAGACGTCCAGATTCTGGTTTGTTTTGACCTAGTTCTACAACCTGGTTTTGGCCTATACTTCAGGTTTATTTCGTATTGGTCTTTGCTACATATTCTGTGCTGTAGCCCAACTGCATTGCTGATCGTGCCCTAATTTACCCTGTGTTTTTCAACTTCTTTGTCTATGTTCAACTTCCCTCTGCATGGAGATTTTTCTTTTCTTCTTCTGCTATGGACATCCAACCAGTCCCCATCAAGTGTCACCTCCTCCCTCATTACTCCAGCGGTAACTGAGTTGTTTGTACCCCTCAAATGTACTTCTCCTGTAATACTGTGTTTTTATTTTCATAGTGTCCCCCTATTAAATTGTAGGCCCCACTGGGATCAGGGAACTGTGTTATGTCTCATCCAAACTTTGCAGCTGTTGTGTTATTGAGGCAGTACTCACACAAACTATGTTATTTGATAACTTTTTGGGGAATTGAAATGCTAGGGAGAATACTGCCTAGTATAAACTATACTTATTTATTAGGTAAAAATAATGTTAATACTTGTTTTGTTTTGGAGGTGTAGAAGAATGGACTAAATTTTAGAAAGGCTCTAAGATCCTATCTTGTATTTAAAGAACAAAGAGAAAAATGGAAATCATCAAAGCACAAAGTAGATTGTTCATGTTTTAGCAGCGAGTCTAGGAAAGAAAAAGAATTCCCTGTACAGAAAGACAAGTTTCATTTGAAGTTTTTGTCTGTCTGTGTGTTTTTAAATAGGTTCTGTGTCAGAGAAGAGAAGTCCTGTCAAAAGGGAGAGATCATGTTCCCATGATTCGGTATCTTCATCTCTTTCCTCAAAAACTTCAAGTAAGAATTTTCAAATGGGAAAGATCATAGCAATAGATTTTTTATTACAGTATTTTGGAGAGGAACTCAAGAGGCAATGCAGTATGGTGAGAAAAGCAGTGGGTTTGGAGTCAGAGGACACAAGTTCAAATCCTTCCTCCCTCATTTACTAACCCCTAGGCCTCAGTTTCCTCATTAATATATAGAAGAGGTTGGAATATATGACTTTTAAGATTTAGCTCTAAATCTATGATTACAAGTGATCCACATTTTGAATCAAGATTATCATCATTTTCGTGGGGGTGGTACTACTGTTGCTCTAAAAGAAATAATTTAATAATGATACCTAACAGTTATATGGTGCTTACTATGTGGCAGGCACTGTGCTGAGTGCTTTATACTTATTGTCTCATTAGATGCTCACAACCTTGGGAGGTAAGTGCTATTATTATTCCCATTTTTACAGGTGAGGAAAACTGAGGCAAACATAGGTTAAGTGACTTGCCCAGGGTCAGATAGTGTCTGAAGTTGGATTTGAACTTGGGTCTTCCTGACCCCATGCTCAAGGCTTTATCCACTATGCCATCTAGTTGGCTACCATACAAAATATATCTACTTCTCTCTATCCTTATATAGATAGAATTCACCATCTAAATCTCTCACTACCAGGAATATTCAAGTGGGTCCTGAGACCTTGAGTAATTCATGTTTCATATGACTTTGGTAGTTCTTTTCATGGTCCTGTCTTCTTCTGGACTCTATGCTTCTATTCAGGAAGGCTAGGATAGCTTAGTTTGTTTGAGTACCATGCCATATTATTGATTTATATTGAGCCTATAGTCCATTAATTCCCCCCCATGCCCAGATCTTTCCTTAAAATTTATATTATCTGTTGTTTAGCCACATATTCTTCAAGCCATATATAGCAGAGTACTTGATTTTTGTGAACCTAAGTGTAGGACTAGGACTTTATGTTTATTAAATTCATCATTCCATTGCCCCAAAATCATAACCAATAGTTGGTTGGTTATTCCAGCTTTGCACGATCCTTCCTTAGGTTATCAGCTATAGCTATTTTACATTTAATCTAGAGTATGAAACTTTTCTTAAAAAAATAATGTTTCAAGGTAATACCCCCTTCATCTCTGTCTCCTAGAATCCTCTTGAAATTTCCTTCAAAACTCAGCCAAGAACCACTTTTTACATAAAGCCTTTCCTGATCCTCTCCATTGTTAGTACCTCTTCACCAATTATCGGATATGTATTTTGTATATGTCTATAAATATATATATATATATATATTAAATATATTAATATATATAATATAATAATATACATATTAATGTGTGTATAAACACACACACACACTCATGTAAGCTTCTTGAACAGAGAGACTATTTCATTCTTTTGTATACCCAGAGCCTGTATTATGGTTGCTGCTTGTTGATTGATTGATCTATCCATCTTAATTTTCCATTGAGGAAAAAGAAACTCAGCGTATAGTCAGTGGCTGTCATCCCTGAGTTAGTTAGCATAAATACTGGCCTGAAATATAGCTTTTCTTTTCAGGTATGGCCTTTGGCAATGAGTCATCTCCACCAGTAATAGCATTGGGTGAGAGGGCCAGATCTCCACATCCTTCCCTCAACAGTGTGATGGAAGATGGTGCAGCTGCCTGTGAGAAGCAGAGACAGAAAGTAAGTCAAGGTGCTCAGACTACCACCAGCAGGCACTGCCCTGGGCCAGGAGAACAAGACATGTGCCCGAATCCAAAACCAAACCTTAAAAGTGTCCAGGTTTCAGTCACCTCCTCATCTTCACCATATTCTTCCTCTTCCTCTTCTTCCTCTTCTGCACCGACTTCAAATGCTTTCATCTTGCAGAACTCCCAGTGCTCCATGACCAAAGGATTGAAGCAACCCCCTGTAGTTTTCCTGCCCAAGTTGGTGTATGACATGGTTACTTCCACAGACAGCAGTGGCCTTCCTAAGGCATCTTCCCTTCTGCCCTACCATTCAGTCACGTGGGCCAGTTCTTTCCGCCCTCTCTTGAGTAAGATGATGACTTGCACAGAGCAATCTCTCTATTACCGCCAGTGGACTGTCCCCAAACCCAGCCACATGGACTACAATAATCGAAATGAGGGAAGAATGGACAACTTTCACCCCAGGAGACTGCTATTAAGTGGTCCCCCTCAGGTACGTATTTGTAAGCTTAGGGTGTACGTAGTGTTCTTGATCTTGACTTTCTTATTCCTGTCTACCAGTAGGTTCTTAGGCTAGTAGAATAATCCTTTCTTTAGGATTAAAAAAAAACCCAACAACACACACACAACTATTTGTTCTAGTTAGATCATCTGATTTATTAGTCAGCAAGCATTTATTATGCATTTACTTTGGGCCAGGAACTGTGGTTAGTTATGGGACTTAGTAATTATGGGACATTACTAATGAAAGGGAACTGTATGGTCCCTGATCTCTAGGAGCTCATAATCTGCTAGGGGAAGATAACATGGAAAAAATTGTTAATACAAGATTTATACAGTGGAAATGGAAGGTAACCCCAAAGGAATTGTAGAAGGGGAGAGAGACAGAGACAGATGGGGGGGGAGAGAGAGAGAGAGAGAGAGAGAGAGAGAGAGAGAGAGAGAGAGAGAGAGAGAGAGCATGTGTGCGTGTAATTGAAAAAAAAAAGACTTCCTACCAAAGGTGGGATTATAATATTTTCCAGAATGTAGTAGATATAGTGGAATTGGAGTCAGAAGACCACAATCTGTGTTTTCTTGACTTTGTCCCTAAGCAACTGTAGAATTTTGATTTGGTGATTTCACTTATTGCTTCAGTTTCCTGATATCTCTTCTGGTTCTGAAATTCTGTGACCATGGAGTCTATGATTCTACTCTTTCTTCACTATATGTGAGCCATATATGATGGTGCAATTTACTTGACATCTCTAAGATTCAGCTTTTCTATCTGCAAAATAGGGGTTCTATTCTTTGTCCTCTATACCTCACAGGATGGATGTCATGTGAATAAAAAAAATCTAAGGTACTATACAAATGGAAGAGATTATTACCACCAGTAGAGCTGTAGTGACATCTACCTGTATTTTAAAAATAAATTTATCATTTTGGTTTGGGGTTAAACTCTTTAGTTGGTTGTGAGAGAGGGCACTGAAGTCACTGTATCTTGCTTATGAACTCCTGTGCTAGCCTTCTTGGGTGAAACAAACATATTGGCAGATGGAACTCATCCAGAGGAAGAGAAAAATCTTAAATCGAGGTTTACCAACAGTAGTTGTGATTCTATGGTGGTTTATATTTATCAAATCACTTTATCATCAGTTATCTCTACCATCTCCATAACAATCCTGTGAAACAGAAAGTGATTTTCATGTTATAGATGAAGAAACCAAGGAGCAGGGAACTAAATGATTGCCCCAAACCACACATCAGGTTAGTGCTAGGGTCCTAACTTAGAATTTTCCACCTGATGAATGAGTGAAGCATTATTAAGTAATTAGCATGTGAAAAGCACTATGCTAAGTGCCAGGGTTATAAATAGAAAATTAAGACAGTCCCTTCTCTCTATGAGCTCACATATTAATGAGAGAGACACCACAAATGGAGAGTTTCAGCTGTATGTCGGGTGGAAAGGTCCCACGGTCCTTAAGGTGCAGTGATGAAGTGGATATTAATGCCTTTCCTTTAATGTCATTTCCACTGACAAAATCCTTTCAGTTTCTGATGTTGAATTATTTGACTGAATGTAGCAAGAACTTTCTTTTCTTGGTCTTCAATAAATGTTGTGGTAGCACCTGCAGGAGCAGTTACCAGGTTGCATTTCCATAGGGATCGCTTCCAAGGATAATTTTGTGGGCACTGGGCTGACAGCATTATTCTTGGACTCAGGATCCTGGGCTGTCTGCATCTAAGGAAAGATGCTGGTCAAGGTGGTGGTGGTGGTTTGACTTGCCTGGCATGTGCCACCTCTTGTCTCCTTGAGGAGGACTTGCTGCTTTAGCTAGGCTGGCTTATTTATTAGCTATGTGAACTTGGGTAAGTCATTTCCCATTTTCAAGTCTTAATTTCTTCATGTAGAAAATGAATTTTTGCAACTAGGTGCTCTCTGTAAGGGCTCTTCCCCTTCTGTGATCCTCTGATTTAGTACATGCCTCACAGCTGGCAGATGGGGTATCTGATTCTTAGAGAGGTGAGGTGACTTGATGAGTTTCATAGAGTACCTGAGTAGTGACTCAAACCCTACGTAAGTTTTTTGACTACCAAAGCTATGACTCTTTCCATGAAACTCTGCTTTACAAATAGTTGACAACTAATAGTTGACAGAACCAGGGCTAACATACCATTATTCTGTTTTTCATTTTAGAACTCTTGCTGCTTTAGAAAGAATGAATACATAAATGCTAGTATAGGTGTGCACAGGCATGCACCATGTTGCCATATTGATAGGTCATTTAGCTAAAGATTTTCATACTTCTTTTATTACTAAACACTCTGGTTTTCATTAATTGTCCAGCGTCTTCTTGTTAAATGTCTTCTACAAATGTAATTGATCAAAACATTTAATATGGTTTTTTCTTTCCTTTAATTCCCACTGATGGAAATTTTATGGTATCTGCAAGGAACTTAAGTTCACAGCATAGTGGGGAGAATCCTAGACAAATGGCCATAACACCTCACTGCTATTCCCAGTCCTGCCAGTAACTAGTTATATGACCTTGGGTAATTCATTTCCCTTTTTTGAGCCTCTTTCCTCCCACTAGAAAAAAACAGGGGAGTCAGATTAAATTACTTTTAAGGGCTCTTATGTGGAAGTCCTTTTTGTTTAAAAATGCATATTTTCACTGGGACAGTGGCAACAAACTATCAGAACTGTCATTCCATGTCAATAGTACTAGAGAAAGCAAGAAAAATTATGATTTATATAGCAAATCTCTTCATTCATCAAGACTCTTCATCTAATATTTGGTTTAAAGAAATCAAACCTAACTGTTTATAGCTTTGTAATCTTTCTTTTCTCCTAAATCAACAACGCAGCAAACATTTTTAGGACCTACTATGTATAGGACACCTTTCTAGTCACTGGGGATACAAAGACATATTGAAATATTGAATATAGTTCTTGCCCTCAAGAAGCTTATGTTCTACTGGGGAGTCGCATTATGTGCACAGATCAGAAAATAATACCTAAAGTGCTACCTAGCACTTTAAAGGTTTGCAATGTATATATATATGTATGTATACATGTATACTATATACATACACATATATACATACAGACACATATATGTATGTGTGTGTGTGTATACGGTTTTCATTAATTGTCCAGTGTCTTATTGTTAAATGTCTTCTACAAATGTAATTGATCAAAACATTTAATATGGCTCAGGCTGGTTTTTTCATACACACACATACACACACACACACACACACACACACACACACATTTGTATACACACAGGCAGCTAAATGGCACAATGGATAAATTACCAGGCCTGAAATCAGGAAGACTCACCTTCCTGAGTTCAAATCTGGCCTCAGACACTTCCTAGCTAAGTGACTCCAGCAAGGCATTTAACCCTGTTTGCCTCAGTTTCCTCATCTGTAAAATGAGCTGGTGAAGGAAAATGGCAGACCACTCCAGTATCTTTTCCAAGAAAACCCAAAATGGGGTCACAAAGAGTCAGACAAAATTGAAACTAGTGAACAAATGTGTGTGTGTATACACACATATACACACACACACATATATACATATACATACACACACATATATAAGATTTAATCCTTACAACAATGCTGTGACGTAGGTGCTATTATTATTCCCATTTTACCGATGAGAAAACTGAGTCTAAAGAGAGTCTAAAGGACTTGCCCAGAGTTACATTACTTGAAATTGCCCGAGGTGCTCTGCTTTGCTACCTAGCTGCAAAATATATACACAATAGTTCAAAGTTATTTCTAAATATGTGTTATATATAATATATATGTGTATATGTATATATGTATCAAATAAGTTGACAATGAACAGAATTAAACTCAGGTTTTTTTTTTTTCTGAAAGCCCATTCTTAACCTACCCCCCCCACTGTGTTTTTGAAAGAATAATATAGAAATATTCCCATTCTTTTCTAACTTTATTCATTTAAAAACAACTTAATTTGGCCTTTTTTGCTTCTTGACTTATATATAAATGCATGAATTCTAAGAAAAGGGTAAGAAGTTTGTCTCACTTCCCAGGGATTAGTGTTCTCTGCCGTCTCTCATTTTCTGGGAATGAATCTCATTCACTTTTCATTTTCTGTCTACTCTAGGAATACCAGAAAATGCTATACAGAAAGCAGATTGCTCCATTTAGACTCATTTAATAATCAATTTTATTTTGATTAGCCCTGAAGCAAAAAGACACTATTCAGTTGATCTACAGCTACACACATATTGATATCTCCTCACTGTGCCAGCTGTCTCAAAGACTTCTTTAAAGCTGTTTCCTATTTAATATATTGTCTTAAAAGTCCTCTCCTAGGGCTTTTAATGAGCTCTTTGAAATATTTTCAGAAACCTATTTGTGATGGGAAAAGCTCGCTCAAGATGGTCACTTGGATAAGAGAATTTAATGCAAATACAGTCAAGATTTCTCCACAGGCTCCAGTGTGTCCCTTTGAATACAAGTTGCTTGAATTCATAGGCTAGGATTTTACTTCTAGGTGAAACGAGAGAACAACTCAGGCTGTTGATTTAGAGAAACCTTCACCTAGTTATAACCTTAGTTTCTCTTCTTTCCATAATCAGGTGGCCTGACATCTCACCTTTCCTTGTCAGTGCTACTGAAGTGATGCCATCAGGGAGGGTAGCAGTACATTGGACATACTCTTGTGAAAGCATTTTTCAATGTCAGTTCCAGCACAGTGCCTGGCACCTAAAAAATGCTTGATGAATGCTTGTGAGCTTTACTGAACTTTGTGGATTTTGGAGAACGTGTGAACTCACTTGTTTTGTCTATATAGTATCCATTGAATTACTTCCCCACATTGTATATCCTTGCCAAATTAACCTAGTTGCTGTTTCTCCTACAAGACATTCCATTCATCTCTGTGCCTGGAATGAACTCCTTCCTCACTCCTACCTCTTAGAATCAGAAGCTTTCTTCAAAGCTTAGCTTAAGTGTTATCTTCTATGG